TCTCAAGGCACGCTTGCCAATTGCCTTCTATATAGAAAGGCAATTGGCACTAGTCCCAACTAGGCTAGCGTACCTGGCGACTCACTGCCTTTCTATTGGATGGCCCAGGCCAGCGAGTCAGGGTGGCCACCCAGGCCTCATTCACTTGAGGCCCCTATGGCCACTGCCACACGATATTTCGAACGAACAGAGTTGTCGGATTCATCTTCTGGAATAGAGTCGTCGCATCGTCGGAAAACAGGCTCCTTGAGCCATTCCTCCTTCCAGCGGAGCGGAGTGCACGTGACTGGTCCCTGATTCTTAATTTGGTAAACTTGTCTGGCACTGGTCAAATCCGATGCAGCAAATACGCCTTCGAGCACAGCTAGACAGACGATGACATTGATGAGACAGAAGATCAGCCTCCTAGCAGGGGTGAAGAAGAGGCCAGTCCTGGGAATACAGTTTATCAGCTCTGAGACCGCTAAAAAGATCGAGGTGCCTACTTACGGCTTTGGTTTGTTGTCTGCCCCCTTGTGGTGTGCAAACTTGATACTCATCGCCAGAATATCCTCGCCGGTGGCTGGATGGCGCACGACCATTAGCAGGGTGTCCTCCCAACACAGCGTCTTTGGACGTCCACGGTCGACAGTGTATCTTGTGAGTTCCTTTCCAAGCCACCCGGCATTCTCGTCTTCATCAGCAGCTCCCTTGGGTCTTCGCGGAAAGAGCTCTTCTAGATCCTTGCCACTCTTTCTCTCATCGTCCACAAATTCGGCCGGTCGCGCCCCTGTGCAAGCAAGACCGATATAGATCCCTGCCAGGTTTACGCGATGCTTCTCTCCAGAGAAGATGCCTGTGTCGAATTCAAAATTGAAAGTCAGGAGAACCAGCAAATCATTCGAGTTGGCAACATCTTTACCACGGCTATTAAGCGCTCGCAGGCCAAATTCAACCCTTAAGTAAGTATCATGATACTTATAAAGACAATTAGCGGATGCGGCCAGTATATAGAAGCCTTGAAACGAACTTTGAGAATTTCTTTGCTATCGTTTATGTCCATACGTTTACCGGTAGCATAGGTGTACAGCTGCTTGAACTGGCGGAAATATTGCCAGCATGTGCCATACGAATCGATGACGGAACGTTCGCACACCCAATGGAGAAAACTCATCCCTATCGATCGGGTTGCTGTTCTGAGAAGGTCTTACAATCGTCTTTCTACTCCCGATATTCGCAGTATCTCCATATACGTTAGCAACGCTGCCAAGAACGGGAGGGAAGCAGCTTACTTCTTCCACTTTCTTGATATGCCAGCTATATTAATTTCAGTATTATCGGCGTAGTTACGGTCGATATGATCGACGTTATCGAGACGCTTGCATAGAGCTTCATGCTGTGCGGGTGTCAAGGGTACCTCTCGTTTCGCAATCCGCGACTTGGCTCTTTTTTTCGTGATCACGAGGGTTATGCGTTGCCTCCTTTTGGCTCCTTGTCCCTCGGTTCTGTTTACCTGTGGGTTCACGTGCGGCTCTACTCTCGCATTGAGGGCCACGCCGGCCAGGGCCATATTACCATGTAGCAGTGACAGCCCGAAAATTCGAATTGTTTTTCTTTTCTAATACTTTAGACCTAGAACCGGTTTCTTACCAGAATTAGACACTAATATCGAGATTCGAATGGTTCTACTGCCGAAGGGAATAGAAAAGGAACAGGACGTGCTCGACCAGCAGGAGAAGCTTGAGGAATGATGTGTTCCAGGTTGGGGATAATTATATACAACTTCAAGCGATATGAGCTGTATCTTGGGAGCCCGTTGAGCATGTGTTGCACAGATTGCATAGCACGTGGTAGAACTACAATTTCCGTAGTAAGACTTCTTATCCTTGACCTCGCCAGCCTTTTTCAAGTCAATAGCCTATTTCCGTCTGAAAACTTTTGCCTCATTTTCCATTTATGTTATATCCTGGACTTTGTCTTGTCTCCACCTGGTATGCGCTGGCATTGGTGGTATATTAAACTTCCGCACCATGGCCTGTTTTATGAGAAATCGCAATCCAATTACATCCAGGCTGATCTCAGCCCTCTGTCTCTGCTCGTTGGTCATCGATGGTAGCCCTCGCACCAGACTAACAGCAGCAAGTAGGCGAAGCGCGTCGGCCCAGCAGGTCATAACCTGGCCCCGCCGGCTGCCCTCGCCACCTCCCCTTAGGCTCGTGCCATATGGCATCGCATGAAATACGTCGCTTGCGGCGTTCAACACCTCGTCTCCAACCCGACGGATCTTGCGCAGGCTGGCGGCTCGTTCGCCTCGTAGGCTCTCCAGCTGCTCACCTGATAAGACAGCAGCGTCCACATCGTCAACAAGATTAATTAGCAAGATCAAGTGGTAATGCAGCTTGATCAACGCCATCCTGTGGATGGTCCACATGTGAAGCTCAACTTTTTGTGAGCCGGCCGGCAGGCTCTCCAGCGTATATGTGACTTCCAGACTCCGTATCCGCGATGTGAGGTCCATGACTACCTCAGTCCCCATGTCATGTGGTTTCTTCATGGCTTGCAACATGCGATTTATCTGGCTCGAGATCGCAGTTGCGCTAAAGACATACCGACCGACCAAGAACGGAGCCATATCCGCTGGCTGAAGGCTCGAGGCGATGGCGTCGAGCCAAATCGGTACGTCTTCAGTCAGGGGTTGATTTGTGAGGATATAGCTGCTTTGCTAGCAGGCCAACAAGGAAATAAAGTCAGATTTATGTTCATGTGAGGTTACGGTTCTGTGCTTGGGTGTACTTGCGATTGTGCTCAACGCTACCCAAAAGAGGCTTCTTCCTGCTCGCGTTGACAGCTGCTCGACGCCCCTGAGTCGGAGGATGCTCGTCAAGCCCTGCGCGTGGATGTACCAGGCGGCCGGTCCTCGTCCCCATGGCCCATCCCGTGGGCGCATAGTCATAGGAGATGCTGTGATGATCTGGAGAAATTGCATAATTATTTGTCACGTCAGTCTTCGGAGTTTCTAGTATGGAGAAGCGCATGGAGAGAGAAGTGTCCGGACGTTAGGATCTCACCTCGTAGTTTCCAAGCAGCCACACTGCAGCCAGTGTTGCATCCTGTAAGCTGCGCCTCGGGTCCCGTAAGGATGCATTCACTGCCTGCAATGCGGCGCCATATATGTGAGAGGGCCGGTGAGCCAGTGTGAAGTTGTCGTTTGAGTGATTTTTGACATATGCATCCATGAAGGCCTCGACGGCAAGCTCGAGGCATTTATTACTTCGTTCAAGAAGGAGACCAGGCAAGAAGTCGTGATGTCCAAAGTGTGGTGATGTAGAACTTGACGAGACAGAGCGTGCAGAGTACTGCTCTAAAAGCAAGGGAACAGCGTGAGCGCTCAATATTTCCGGCAGGGTAGGGAGGAGCGGCGGCTCCCACTGGAGCTCAGACGGCGGGGGAAAACCCGGAGTTTGAGAGGAACCACTTGGGCGTGCCAGCTGCGTGCTCGTCCTGCCACGCGGTGGGTCTGACCCTGTGCTTTGCAATAATGACAGTACAACAGTTCCAGCAGTCCCAGAAACACCAGTTTTCTCTCTGCGTCTCCGTTCCGGCTTGCCCTGTGATCTTTTCAGTGAGGAGATGTCCTCGTTTTGAAACATGAGATCTTCAACGGGTCGGTACCCGGGACAGTCCTCGCCGTATCTCAGACATCGTAGGCAGGATGGCTTAGTCAGGTCGCACTAATCACGTCAAATCTCTCAGCCTTAGTTGAACAAGTAAAGGACTATGTTGTAGCCGCCGCAGAAAACTTCACGGCATCATACCAACCTTGACTCTTCTCCTTCGACAAAGATGACAGTCACGGCTCGGTCTTCCAGTGTTAGGCATATTGCTGCCGATGTTGGAAGCAAATGATCGAGGGTGAGGAGGGGAGGTGAGATACGTGTAGTTTTGATTCAAATGTCCTCATCTGAACCAGACAGCAGCACGCCTGCCCTTGCTGTGATCTCCAACAGTGGTCTTCACGTCTGTCATAAGAAGACAGAATGAGGACAGCTGCACTCCAGCGACCTCCAGCCACATATTTAGTGTTTACGTCAGCTGAGCCTTACTCCAACAATTAGGCGTTCATGGTAATTGCCTACCCCGATACAAGCTGCTTACGCTGATCCTCAATGCCACTCGTACGTGCAGCATACCAGAACACCGCTGACTAGAAACCAGCCAGTAGCGTCATATATGATAACCACTAATTACTATAGCAGCCATAGTCGCGACACTGCCGAGGAAATGAGCATGGTTCCTTAGAACAGAATTATTAGACTACCAGAGACGAGGTTTTTCGAATAAGACGGAACCATCGACACTTTTCTGGACACTGGTGCACAGAATCCGGTAAGAGCACGCAGGTGACGGGGAACCCAGCGTTGGAATGGATCTGTCCGTGTTCGTGTACTGAGGTCTGTCCTGATCAACCTTGTCTTGTATATTTCTGACAAGGACAAATCCGTTCGGGCGCTGGCCTGCTTCATGTCATCAAGAAGCGAGAATGTCTCCATCGACATGATGGTATTAAAAGCAATCAAGCTGTGGCAGGGGCCATAGGGGCCTCCAGTGAATGAGGCCTGGCTGGCCACCCTGACTCACTGGCCTGAGCCATTCAATGGAAAAGCAGTGAGTCGCCAGGTACGCTAGCCTAGTTGGGACTAGTGCCAATTGCCTTTCTATATAGAAGGCAATTGGCAAGCGTGCCTTGAGATAGATTAATTGAAGAACCATCTTCCCTTCTACCATTTGTACAGCCCCTAGAGTGCCTTCTACACTCCATGTCTTAAGATTCAAAACAAAGCTGACTGGCTTATAGCAATGGATGAGCAGGTATGTCTCCGAACTTAGCAATAAACTTCATTAGATCTGGTCAAGCTGATGGAGGAAAGAGGGAACAGATTGCACCACCTTGCAAGGACCGCGTTCAGTTTGACTGCGGCCGGGAGCAGATGGACGGAAAATAATCAACAGGACAATGACAGTACATTCGCTACTTGGTTATAACGAGACAAAGAATCGAAGAATAAATCAAGGTGTGATCCAACCTGTCGGGACTATCGCCAAGCCTGGCCCTCCTCCCACCTCCCACCCCCTCACCCCCCTTCAGCAGTACTTGATCCTCTTTGCCTTTTCCTTCTGTCTCAATGATCTGCGAGGCGGTGGCTGCATGCTGCGGCCAACATCAGGTGTGGATGATGAAGAGCGTGAGCCAGAGCTCTTGGAGTGGGCTTTGGATGAAATGGGAGGCGTGGGTTCGCAGGGTCTCCGGATCTCATTGCCAGTCTCATCCTCATCTCTCACAGGCCCCACACCAGGCACAGGCGTAGCTTCTTCAGCAATGGTATGGAGAGCCATATGATGTTGTCGCATCCAGTACTCTGTCACCTCATCCCTTAGGGCATATGACTGCTCTCTAGCATGGTCTTGTTCGTTCCTGAGTCCTCTTCTGCCGGCCTTATGCCCCTGGTATGTGTCTATAAGACTTGTTGACTTGACACGGTAGTGGTGGTATTCGAGTATCCCACTCTTCGAGAGAGCAGCATAGTGCGCATAAAGGTTGAGATTAGTGCCATTGGTAGTGAATGTTGTGATCTCTGCATGGCCAGGAGGGTCTGGTTTTCCAATGTAGGAAAGGGCCTGGTTCCGAGAGTAGACCAGGGCTGCTCCATCGAAAGCGCTCTGAAGCCTTGCTTTTTCCATATTCTGATCGCGTCCCTTCCACTCTCCAGCCAAATGTGGTAGTGTGATGGAATGAGGGTTGTCCTTGTAAAGAACAGCACCGCTGATACACTCATCAACTGGTACCGGGCGATACTCTCGAGCATCAAGCCCTTCAACAAAGTCAGGCTGCGGAGCCGATAGACTATTATTGAAGCCAACATCTTTTGGGAACTCTGTAAATGCCTGGTTGAAAGCTCTTGTATAGCCTTCCTCCGGAGAACGCTTCAAGAGATCTGTGCATACTTCAACCACCATGGTACTCTCGTTGACAGCTCTGCCAACTCTGGTTGTATAAGCCTTGTATACTGACTCGGTTGGCGAAGCTGTTCTGCGAGATCGATCGTAGCGTTCGTGAATATCGTCGAGGTTCACAGGCGGCTTGGAGGTGGTGGGGTCGAGTATACCGTTCTTATCGGCTTGTAAGGCGAACCCTGATGTTGTTGTCGATGTTCTCGTCGACCCGGCCGAGTACCCGGCCGAGTGGTTGATTCCCTTTTGCACCATCTTGTCAAACATGGCCAAATTCGTCCGTGTTAACCGTGCTCGCTTGGGCTGAGGCTCGTTGTTCTCGCTTGGAAGAGTATCGTGTCGGCGTTTGGGCTGAGATCTCGGCAGTTGCTGGTTTGTCTGTTCTTGTCTATTAGCTGGTAGCTTGCGCGACACAGTCATACGTTGCCTACCTGCTCAGCTTTCTCGTTCGCGGCAGACCGCTGTGCGCCCGCCCGAGTCAACCGTTTCTTGTCCAAGGGCATCAAAGGGACACCCCCCTTCGTTGCAGCCTGAGCTTTGGAGGTTGGTGGAGCTTTGGAGGTCGATGAAGCTGCGCCGAAGACGTTAGCATGTCTTGACACGTTGCGCACGCGAGGGCATGGCGCACATACCTGATTGCTTGGTGACAGCGCCCGCCGGCTTTCTTTCCGGGGCCTGGGTTTGTTTTCGACGTGGGCGGTAGGTACGCGCCGTTGACTCGACGCGGTCCATGATGGCAGGATGCGATGAAGTGTGAGAAGGAAGAAGTTTAAGTACCAGCGCGTAAGTTGGCTGGTGAAACGGCCTGCTAGGGGTTGTTCGGAGGACCGCGAGGTGATGGGCGGGGCTTGATGACATATCACGTGGTGCTGGGCGCTACCATGGACCAATAAGCGAAACGACCAGCCTAAGAACACCGAGTCCTGCCGCTGGCCCCTTGATCGCATGTATGTGCCCTCACCGGTCCATTGAAGAATTGACCGGCCGAATACGAGTGTAAGTTTCGCTCATACCAAGTTCGTAGTCTGCATTGTGCCGATTAGTCATAAGTCATTTGACAGATAAGCAGAGCAGCTAGCCTCGACAGACACACACCTTCGCAGTCGCGGAACGGCGGTGTTGGCCTGCATTGAGCATCGAATGGGTGGGTAGACAAAGTGCTGAAATGGTGATAAGGCATAGCAAGGCCGTCCTTGCCCTTGTAGCATCTCATACACCGCCAAATCGGTTAGATTATACGATCTTGCGTGGTGGATGGCCCAGGAACTATTTTTTCAAGAAAAAAAAAATAGGCGGTACGTACCTCGTCTATGTTGATTGGCTGCGAGCTCCTCAGGCGTCGGCAGCTGGAGCCTTGCTGTTACCCCTGTTTGCAAGCGGGCCCCACATACATGATATGCTCAGCCTCCAGTACCCCTTTATTGGGTGGGACTTAGCACGTAAGTGCAACCTCGCTTCACACTCCAGGCCTTCTCTACCCATCCAACGGTACATCGCCAGACCAAATTGCTGCATAATGACCTCAGGTGAGTCAAGAGCCCTAGAAAATGTATGCAGATGCTTACTAGCGTAGTCGAATCTCCTTGGCAATGTTATTGTGGAAGAACCTACATGTCATCTGCTTCCCTGAGACGACACCGCCCAGACTGCCGGCTCTCTTCGGCGCCGTACCGCGACTTCCTGAGTCTCCTTGCTTGTCTTGGGGGACTTGTGCCCGGCGACCTTATCTACCGCGCGTCTTGCCCGGCTTTCAAATGGAATGAGCGGGGGGCTCTGTCCAACGATACCTCTTGCGAGCTCCCGAGCCTTTTAACGGACACTGGCATACTGAACGACATTATCCGAGCTGTTCAAGGGGCTGGCGTTGTTCACCTAGAAGCGGGGTCGATAGATCCTGATGAAGGATCGCCACTTTGGGCATCTTATGATTTCCGGATGTCGCCTAGCCTTCTTGATTTCATTCCAAAGGATTTGCAGCCGTGGAAGATCGACGGTGAGGTACTTCTCGATTTGTGGAAGAAGGTTGGCGCTAGGCTTCTGGCACACGCATTCCCAGTCGAGCATGTTGACCCGAAATTCGTGCAAAGGGGGCGAGCCTACACGTCACTTCTTCGTCCTCTGTTGGGTGACTTCTTGGTTACCCACTTTGTAGGCTCAGGGGAGTGCGATCGCTTAGCCCTGGCATGTATCACCGCCTCCAAGTTCGCCGATAAAGCCGACCAAGAAGTATTTTTATCTACGGCAAGACGGTTAGTCTTCGATAGTACGCCATCAGCTCTGGTGTACAAGATCCAGCTGCGCCAGCAAGAGATGGATCTCTTGTATGGCAGTCGACTTATTAGTCCTGTTCTTCTTTCACCGAAGAATCACCTTGAAAACGCATTGGCCATGGAGAGCCTGATTTTACACGCTCAACAAGATATCGAAGATGGGCATGTTTCAAGCCCTTGGGGCTACCTCCAATGGAAACCCCTCAATGCAGCGCAGCCATCGAGGATCGAGGAGCTAGCAGCTTCCAATTTCTCTTTCCTGAAAGGGAAGCTCCATCGGTTGTCAGGAGATTTCACATCCTCGCAGAAGTGCCTACAGCTGCTTACAGGCCAGCACCCGCCACCACCATGTCTGTTCCGGGCTAAGATGCACCTTGCTGCGGTCTACGGAGAGCTCGGGCGATGGGAAGAAGGAAGACAAGTATTGCAGTCAACAAACCACGTCTCCGCACTTCAGAGTCAGCTTGTCCAGCTGACTAAAGCAGAGTTACATCTGTCTCATCTTCTAGCGGACGGCATCAAGGACGAAGCGGGAAGCAGTGCCGATGGCTTCCAGGAACTTTTCAACATCTACGCGCAAGCAGACTTAGGCTCCAAGGCTCAGCCCTTTCGGAGAGACCTCCTTCGCTGCTGTCTGGGACTAGCTATACTTGCGCATTTGAGAAGCCGGAGTGGGAATCAGATAAGTCTCACTAACACACTCGGTCTCTGGCAAACAGCAAGGGCCGCTTGCCGAGCTTATCTGGTTTCGAGGGAAAGTTTTCCCGACTTGATTTGCTGTCTAGGATCTGCAGAGATCCAGTTACAACTAGCACATCCTGCTGCAGACAAGCACCTTGAACGCGCAATCAAGATCAGAGACCGGCTAGAAGCTAATAGGCTACAAGATCGTTTCATGATTATGAACCTGGGCACCCGCTGGGCTGATCTACTGAATGACTGGATTGAAGCTCATGGGCGCGACCGAGTGTTACGCCGTTGGACGGAATGCACTGTTTAGGTGGGCAAGAGCGAGATACGGAAGTAGTTCTAAGAGGAGTTAGCCTAGATCAAAATATGGCAAGTGCACAAGTGATACATGCAGTAAAACTCTTCAAAGTGCAGAAAAAAGATTTCTAAGGATGACTCACTGTCTATGGCGAGTTACTTTGTCTTGGGAGCAGCAGAACTGCCGCCCCCGGACACAGGGGTAGTAGCAAGTCTCACCGTCCTTCAGCCCAGAGAGCGTCACAGCCAATCAGCAAAAGGAAGGTGCATCTTTGAGCAGCCCAGCCATGCAACTATCATTCTTGGTCCGCTTTTTGCTTCACACATCCTGGTGGGTCGTTGACAGCAAGGCTCCAACGGGACAGAGATGTATCCGCGTGGTCGTCCACTTGGGGCAGAGCACGATCAGTTGCGCATTCACTCAGAACCTCTCACCATCCCACTGCGTACTTCTTGATATATATCATATCATCTCGCTTTGCTATACACTAATTAGCATTTAACCAGTTGCTCAAATTTTATCTTCTTTACTTTTTTTCGGATCCCGTCGACCTCTCCTAAGTTCAGTATGGCATCAATCCTGAATGGAGAATTGCTGTCTGCCTCTTTCGGCAGCCCACTTGGTCCGTTCCAGAATCTTGTCGAGAGTATCGTCAACATCATTGGAATCGACATTGCGAGGCTCACAGCCATCGTCCTGCCTTTTTGGGTGCTCCTTTCAGCTCTCTCATCCTACCCAGCATTCACATACATCCAGAACTGGCTTTCTCATGCATGGATGCGACATATGATGGTTGCTGGCTCTGATGAGGTCTACTCTCCGGTGGGGGACTTCTTACCCAACAAATATGAGGTGAATGTCTCGAAAGATTTGACGGTGGAAACTGTTCGCAGGGATACGAGCCACGGGCCTGTACCTGTCACAGGGAGATATGCCGATTTTTCTGAGGCACAATCGAAGCTCAAATGGATTCCGGGAGATGGCGCGCACTGAATCACCTACAAGGGTCGCTAGATCTCATTCACGCAGGTTTAGAGACCACCCGTCGCCAACACCATCCGTTTCAGAAGACACGATGATCCGGAGCACACTTTCCTAAGTATCAGCTGTTACGGGCGCGATCCTCAATTGCTCCGGGATCTGGTCGAAGACGCTGTGGCGATGCACAGATCATCCACGATGCACAGAGTCTCCGTCTATAGACGCCAGAACAGGGCTCCATCTTGGATTCACGCCTCGGATATTCCGCCGCGGTCGCTCGACACGGTAGACATGGACCAAAACTTGAGAGACGAGATTCTGGATGACCTCAATACCTTCCTCTTGAGCAGAGTTTGGTATCTCTCCCGAGCCGTGCCCTACCGACGGAGCTACATGTTCGAAGGCCCACCGGGTACCGGCAAATCGAGCCTGGTGCATGCCTTAGCGAGCTTCTTTCACTTGCCAATCTACATCTTCAACATACGCGGTAAAGCTATCAGCGAGGATTCTTTGGCTATGCTGTTCGACGATCTGCCGGTCTACTGTCTTCTATTACTGGAGGACATAGACGCCGCCGGGTTAGGTTCGCGCCATATCAATAACGCCATGTCTCCCGAGGACCCACCATCCGCAGCTGGAGAGAGTGAGGACGGTGCTTGCCTGACGCTCGCCGGCCTCCTGAACCTACTTGACGGCGTAGCTGCAGTCGAGGGCCGCGTCGTCGTCATGACAAGTAACTGCATCGACAAGCTTGACCCAGCCCTCATCCGTCCCGGCCGCATCGACAAGGTTATCTCGTTTTGTCTAGCGACGGACGCACAGGCTGCTGCTATCTTTCGCCGCCTGTACAAGGACGACCCGCAGGCTACGGCGGAACTGGCGGAGGAGTTCGGTAGAAGGTTTGGCAGCAAGGTTTTCAGTCCAGCTGCTATTCAGTCCTACATCTTGAAGAGAATGGGGGAGCCCGAGAAGGCTCTACAGGAGGCAGACAATTGGATCAAGGAGAACAATCGCACAGGAGGCTTTCAGGGCAGCTGTGCCTATCGCTTGCAGTAGGCACCCAGGCTGCTTCTTCGCAAATTAAGCTATAGCGACAGTATAGATAGAATGTTACTAGGTAGGTCTCTCAAGCCTGGCGCTTGTGGGCTTGTGGGCTTGCGCGCGAACCATGAATGCATTTCATTAGCTAGGCCACGATTCAGTTAGGCGGGTTTTCTTAATACAATTATCAATTGAAGTCTATAACCAAACCGTTTTAATATGTATCCTTCTGCCGTTTCCTATGGGTAGTGATCCTGTCTCATACGCTCGTAGCTTTTAGCCCCCGATGTCGTGGCTCAACCCTTGTTTCTGGCATTCTAGGCAGAGAAACCTCATAGTAGGGTAGCTAGTAGAGACCGCGACGGCACGCGTAACAGCACGCGTAACAGCACGCGTCTGGCATGCGTGTTCCGTTCAACATTAAGTTCTTGCGCGCAACCTTCTCCTTGTGATACCACGAAGCACATCCCACTGCAGGGGAGCCAATAGCACGTCCGATCAGGAGGTGGCGCAGCACACCCTGAGTTTACGTTGGGCCGCCCCCAACCGCTCCAGTACATGCGATAAGTTGCCAAGTACCTGGACCTGTTGTTCACGGGCGCGCACGGGCTGCTTTCAGTACCGTGCGAGGAAGCTGGCAGACGAATCAAGACATCATGGTCGAGACTGCCTCGCCCGTGCCTAGAACGCCTGTATTACAACCGGTCTCCCAAGCACAAGAGCCGAACGTCTTCTCTCCCATGGCTGTGGCGCCTCTCTGCTGCCCAAACCTCTCAGCAGATCAGGCATCCGGTGCTCCGAACCGACCACCAACACTACAGAACCCGCCTCAAGCTTGCGACTATTCAGCAGCGCCAGATTCCCGGTCCAGGGTCTGAAACGGAGACTGATCCTATTATTGTCGCTTTAGCCAAGTGGATGAATGAAGATTCCGATTCGCAGAGTTTGATAAGGAGAGTAGCTGAAGATAGCGCTTCTGATGATGACTACATCTATCTCCGGTTTGTTGCGAAAGAACTGAAAAAAGAGCTGGCTGCCCAATCTTGATACTCGCACAGGCTACAAGATCTAGTCAGTTCTTATAGCCTGTGCACCTTTTCTAGCGGCTCTGTTCATTCCTTTATGATAGAGAAAAGTACATAAGTTATCCCATATTGTAGCAAGGAGAGCAAGATTGGGGGCCATTGGATCTGTGCCATTGAAACCCTCTCATCTCACCTGTGACTTTTCCCTCAATGAAATCTATCAGTCCTCCTAAAATATTAATATCTCTAACCCGTTCCTCCAGAGGAAGCTAATCTCACATCAAGCTCGACTTTGCATAATATCTTTTGTATGCTCGGCAAGCAGCCTTATTATTTCTTGAAAATATCGTGAAGTCCGGCGATCTCGCGCTAATAGGTCCGGAGTCGCGTGTCTAGAATTGCTTCTATAGCTGCGCGGTCCAAAGGCTTGGATACTTCGCATAGAGCTGCTCTGAACATGTGAGCTGAGAAGGTGTTAAGAGACCATACTTTGTCAGTTTCGAAAAACATATGCAAAGAAATAATATTATTCATTGAATTCGATACTAATGCTACTCTGCGTAATCTGGTCCTTGATAAATTCTACTGCGTCTCCCATCTCGTCCTTGACATACTTCTCAAGCTCGACTTTCACGCCAACCATTTGTTCGTCCAACTGATAGTCCAGCTCCTCTCCCGCCTGTTCCACCTGCTCATCCAACCTAGCTACCTCGCCGGCTATATCATCCTATTTTTCAGATTGCTCCCTGAACAAGCGATTGATATGCTCCAATATCCTCGCTTCCATTCTCACTAGCTCTTGGCGCATAGTATTGGTGAAGCTTTTTTGCTGCTCACTGATTATCTTCTTGCATGCAGATTCGAAAAGCATTATATCGATGCTTCCGACAGAGCTCACGCGTCGCCGTTTGCTGGCATAGGAAGTCGAATCGGATGCTATAATCTGCTTTAGCAGAAGCCAGAAGAAAATTTTCGAACAGGCATTTACAGAAAGATTTGTGCGGTGGAAGTGGAGGGGCATCTCCGGGTTCCTCGTAAGATGGAGGGCCCGGGCAAGCAGATTGTAAGCCAGTAATAATCTGGCCACCTTGCCCACAGTATAGTGCAGCAAGTCTCGCCGGCCTACGGATGGTTATCTCTGGAGGCGTCTGTTCGTTTCGGGTTCCTTAGGCTTGAAATAAATATAGGCAACATGGTGGTCATCTGCTGTAAGGAGCTTGCATTTCCAATTTTCAGCTACGAGAAACATCCAAACCCTTTACCGACACCAAATCATTCCTCAGCTTCCTCCTTCGTGAGTTCGTGCCGTCTGCGAAGACAGAGCTGCTGCAGTGCTGTTGTGAATGGCAGCACAATGTATGACCCAGCTGTCTCGATCCTGCATCAGAGGACCTGTACGGCCCGTAGACCTTTGGCACTCCGGGCAAGTGAACGGGAAAGACTGCAAATGCTGTTTTGTGAAGTGGTCGGAGACTTTAGAAAAGCATTGATTGCAAGCAAGACAGCGATCGTAGCTCTGCTGTCCGAAGACAAGGGTCGTCTTGCCGTGAGCGACAATACAGTGGAGCTGCCAGTCGTCGCGGCTGGAGATGAGAGGTATGTTGTCCGCGACCTGCCTGAGGCATTCCGGACAACTGAATGGCTTGTCGAATATATCGCGGTGATGTCGGGAGTAGTGGTTTTGCTCACTGAAGATCTCATGCTCGCAGAAGAGGCAGCGATGCTTTGTGCTTGGTGGCGGCCTAGGGGCATACTCGGCCCCGCTGTGGGATAACGCGACGTGGCTGCACCACTCAGACAAACTGCTGATCACGATATGCCCCTCGCAACATCGTGGGCAGGGGAACGGTTTCTCGAAGTCTCGTTGGTGGACCCGCGCGGTGTGTCTGGACAGCCCGTGCACTGAAGCGAAGGCCCCGCGGCAGAGGAGGCATGTGAAGCGTCCTGGAGCCCTCCGTCTGGGTGCGTTATGGACTCCATGATGAGATGCAATATGCGCGACCCAATCATTCCACCCATTGATAGTGTGGCTATCGCATTCGGGGCAAAGAAATGGTCCGCTCAGCGTTGCCTTGTGCACCTTATCGTAGTGTTGTGATAGAGCGGATCTTGTTTTTTGGGGTTTCTGACAGAGAAGGCATCGCACTTCCTGCGTTCCGACCAGCTTCCCGGAGGGCTCGCTCAGAGCATCTTCTTCAGTGCTCTGAGGCTCATCTTTAGAAATTGGCCAAATGGTGGGGGGCGGATGCTGAGGCTGAGGCGGGCCCGTGTTGGTAACTTGGTACGCAACCAGTCTCTCGATATACGCTCTTGCATGACTGAGGGGGTCACCGTCAGCCAGCCCCAAAAGGGATGCAACCGCTTCCGCGGGCGAAGAGGTGCTCGCGTAGATGGACTGGCGTGCATGGTTCTGATGTGGCTCTGCCAACCCGTCAACCGCTTGTCCACGGGCCCTCAGATCACCCGCGGCCTGGAAGTACTGTCGCCTCCTCTCGTCAATCAGCAGACGCGATAAGCTCCGAATGATGACAGAACGACGCTGCCAATTACCCTGTTCTGCACATTGACGCAGATCGTTGCGAGTATGTTCCCAGTGGTCGATGTCGGTCCGCTTCACGTAGATCGGAGCCCTGCTGTCACAATCTAAAGATGACTGGCGCAGCAGCGCGAACAGATCATCGTCGGCTGAGGCTTCTGGGGATAGGATCGGCAGAAGGTTCTGTCGAAGCTGTCTTGCCTGGTAGCTACGCTGGAAAATGCCACTACTGTGAGACAGGATGTAATTCCGCAATGCTGGCTCGAGCACGCCTTTGGCACGATATATTAGTATTAGATTAATCTGCATTACCGGGAAACCAGTTGCATACCGTCAAGCCTATTCGCTGCGCCAACGCGCAATGAGTACGGACGGGTGCGTTCGGGGTATCCGGCGACAAGCGTTGTACGATTCCATAGCGCCCCGAAAGTATGGTAATCGATAGGAAATATCGGCCTGTCCAGTAGCTCGTCTTTCCACTTGAACCTCAGGCGCTTGCTGTCTTCGAGATTTGGCCTTGACATCAACTTATCAAGCGAGTCCGTTGGAACATTGAAAGCTTGGTCCGCAAGGGCCCGAGCGATAACAAGACTGACAGGGCAAAAGAGACTCTTAGGATTCAGCACAGCAGAAAAGCTCAAGCTGCAATAAAAGATATATATTAGCATGCTATGTGGTCTTGCTTGCCAGAAGCGATCTGACTTACATATTCGCTTGATCCTGCCTGATAGTACCGGTTCGCTGCTTGTTCTGGTAGATGGTAAAGGTAGCAACAAGTCGTCTTTCCCCCTTGGAATCAAGCATCAGGTCAAGAGCGATCTGACTATACTTGAGATCCATAAGGCAACCTGGACGAAAGCCACCAATGCCACTGAGAAGTACCACAAGGTGAAAGGCAATCCGTATAATAGGCGCGCAAGGGATATCTATGGACTGCTGCCAAAGAGTCCTTATGAGGAGGATAATATCCTCAGCTGTTGCCTCTTTCTTGACGAAAGTCTGCTCGCGAGTAAGCCCTAAGGTTCCAGCATAAGACTTGATCCACTACTATATGCATTAGTAGCCAGCCTATTTCATATAAAAGATACTGATGATGCTCTCACCTTGACAACCTCGAAAACAGGCCCAGCACGAACATCTACATGCAAGCCCTCATAAGCCTTTAAGGACCATTGGGACCTATGCTCAGGATCCTCTCTCCTTTTTCGAGCAAGCACAGTCTGATTGAACTCGAGAACAAGGCAACGACAGCAGCCAAGTAAGGTAACAGCGCTCCTGACAGTTCGCGTAACTCGATATTCTTCTGGCTCAAGACAGATCTGTCAGCGCTTTTGCCCTGTAGCATAGATTTTCAAGAATTTGGTACAGAGGCGGATCGCATCATCCTGCAAGAACCCTGGCTGGCACAAGTTGATCCATATCTGTTCAGGATCTTTTTTGGCAAGCAACCAGAAGCTTGTCCATATTAACTAAAGCTTCAAGATCTAGATATAGCAGATAGAGACCACTTACTGGTCCCAGAGCCTGCGAGCTCTAGCTCGTCTCTCAGATGTCGCTGGGGCGATAAGCAACAAAGTCTCATCAGCTGGCTCATCTGTAATATTTTGAGCTTCATCAGCATCAATATCAAGAAAAGAAGGATGCATTGCAAGACTGCAAAGACAAGATCAAGACAGTCTCAAGAGGCAGAATAGGATAGCTGAGAAGGGAGGCAAAAGCTGTATGGTCCAAAAGCTGTATGGTTCAAGACCAAAACAAAGAAAAGAAAAAGGGGCAGCAAGAGCCTGGAGCTGTATTTGTAGACCATGGCCAGCATTATCAGCCCAGATTAGACACAAGATTAGTTGCTTACTCAGGGGATAGAACAATACTTTGCAGCTGGGTCTTGTGACGAGAAAAGATACATCCAGGACCCGAGCGAGATACTTGTCGCAAGTAGGCCCTCTTGCTGCCCGTTTCCCGTTTCCCGTCTCCCGTCTCTTTCCTTCGCTTCGCCGCCAGCAGCCGGGAAACAGGAAACAAGAAGCAGGAGAGGACAGCTGATCTGCTTACGCGCGCACATAAAGGAGGAGGGAGAAGGAAGAGGAAGAGGAAGAAGAAAAAAGGGAAAAAGATAAGACAGAGGGAGAAGGAAGAGAGAGGAGGAGGACGGGGTCGCGGGGAAAAAAAAAAGGAGTGGTCCCGGAGAGGATCGAACTCGCGACCTTCGCATTACAGATATTTCCTCAATTGAGGAAGTATTAGTACGACGCTCTAACCAGCTGAGCTACGGGACCAGCCGAATTGACAGGTTGCTACTCAGCTTGTATTATATTTTCCATTTCTGTCTGCCAGCATTTTTAGGTACTTTCCTCACCTCCAAAAAACATATGCACTCTTTATTTTAGCAATCAGCAGCAGTACGAGGGCAACAAGTATATAGGTATCATGATTTTATTTTTACATAGCATGACATGAATACACGCCGGGGCCTACTTCGACGACGACGACGGCACACGACGGCCTCTCTCCACCGCCCGCCAAGGTCGCGGCACAGATTTGGTTCTCACCAGTCTCAGCAGCAGATACGCAACCAGACGATACGCAACAACTGTCCCCGCCAGCGCGGCGATGTTGACCACGGGGTCCACGTCCAGCCCGTACAGCTGCAGGACCTCCTCGCCCGTGGTGACGAGACACCCGCTGTCGTCGCCGCCACTCCCACAGGTAAACGTCTGGCCGCGCAGGCTGACGGGGCCCAGGGCGCGGACGGCGTAGCGGAGTGGGCTGAGGTAGTTGAAGGCGTTGAAGAGGGCGGGCATGTGGATGCTCATGATGCCCTCCATGATGTTGCCGATGGAGAGGATGATGCTGGTCAGGGTGACGGCGAAACCGGTGTGGTCGCTGAAGAGGGTGTTGAACATGATGCCCAGGCTCTCGCCGCAGTGCACGATGCCGAAGCAGGTGAAGACGCAGACGAAGAACATCTCTGGGGTGCGCGGGAAGCCGACGGCCAGGTCGGCGAGCACCCCGTACATGAGGCAGCTGATGACCTCGAAAGGGAGCTCGAGCAGCGAGTACGTGGCCAGGAAGCTCTCGGCCGCGTAGACGCCGTCGTCGTCCTCGCGGTAGAAGACGTCGCGCTCGGCTGGGTAGACAGCGACGTTCTGCAGCATGCCGACAAAGTAGAAGGCGCCGACCTGCTGCACGAACCCGACCCGGTTCTGGATGGACGCGTAGTCGTGGCCCAGCGGCGCGAAGAAGAGCGTCATGACCACGGCCAGGCCAATGACCTGCATGAGGCGGGCGAGGAGCAGAGGGGGCTGCCGGCGGAAGTTGACAAAGGCCCGGTGCATGAGAAGGGGGAAGGATGTCCTGAAGGAGGTGCGGTGCCGGACCAGGGCGCCCAGCTCAGCTGGCGTCGAGAGGTGAGCCTTACCACTGGACCTCCGACGAGGCTGTCGTGATTGCGCGTCATCCTCTGCCCCCCCTGCTGTTGCTGCTGTCTTCTCCTCTGTGATGGGTGCGAGGGGTGTATCCAGTGCAACAGTCTGTGGATCACTGACGTGTTTGTTCCAGGTGTCTACAAGACTGTCCACAGTCTTCCTCGTCTCCTCTTCCCTCTTCTGCTCCTGCAGGTCCACAGTGATCAGATCCATCACGAAGTCGGCCGGGTTGGTATTGCGAGGACAATCCCGCCCCAATCTACCAAAGTAGGTCAGCATGTGGTCTGCCGCACCACTGTACACCGGCCTGCCGCCTCTGGCCAGCAGCAGCACGTTGCCAAAGTGGCCAAACAGGTCAGAGCGCGCCTGGTGGATGGTCAGGATGAGGGTGCGCCCCTCGGCGGCGAGGCCCCGCAGCACCTCCATGATGGAGCTGGCGGTGAACGCGTCGAGCCCGCTGGTCGGCTCGTCGAGGAGCAGGATGCGAGGGTCCGTGAGGATCTGCACGGCGATGGTCACGCGGCGCTTCTCGCCGCCTGAGATGCCCTTGACCAGTTCGTTACCGATGAGGTTGTCGGCGCAGTCCTTGAGGCCCATCTTGAGCAGGACGTCCTCTGCGCGTGCGTGTTTCTGGGCCTTGGTCATGAAGCCCGGCAAACGCAGGCCGGCGGCGAAGCGGAGGGTCTCGCGGACTGTGAGAGACGGGAGGAGGGCATCATCGTCCTGGCAGACGTACGAGCAGACAGACCGGATCACTGAGGCAGAGGGCTCAGCACTGTTGAACATCATCCTGCCGGAGGGACGATACCGTGTGCTGATGTTATTGTGGAGTCGTAGGGCCATGGCGTTGAGGAGAGAGGTCTTGCCGCTTCCACTAGGTCCCATAATAACGTTCAGCTTGCCTGCCTCGAACGTGGCCGTCACCGGGTTGAGGATGGTCTTCCTTGGCAGCTTCTTGCCCCAGGGCGACCTCTTGTCCAGAGCCAGGGCGAACTGATCGAGCCCAACGTCGATGGTGCGGACCTCCTCGATCGACCGGGCCGCCATTTTTTCCTTGCCGGCAGAGAGGTCGTTCTCAGCAGCGCGGGCCCGAGCGATGGTCATCTCCTTCTTGATGAAGGTGAGACCAATCCAGGACAAGATATAAAAGAAGGCCACGAAAGAAGCGCTCACGACAATCGGGGTAACCAGCCATCTTCTCGAGAAGCCGAGGGACTCGAGGATATAGGTGCCAGTATAGGAAACACATTCAGGATCGGATTCACCGCCTGGGTAGGGACAGTCGTAGAACGAACCACGGAACTCATTGTTACAGAGAGCACCAAAGACGTAGTACTATAATCCCCCAACACGTACACGTTGTAAGCATCATCGACAACAGAAGACAACTTGTTGCAAGTCGGGGAAGCGACAACTCACCGTATAGGTCAAGTATTTGATCCAGCGCAGCCAGATGGCGATCGTGTCACTCTGGATGAAGAAACCGCATGCAAATGACTGTAATGTATAAGCCAGATTTGCGACCAGGCTAGCCCCTGCAAAGTGTCTGCTGGCCGTGACACAGCACATGGCACACGTAACAGCAATATACTGGTTGATCAGCGTGATGCCAAAGTAGGTCATGAACCTGCCCGGGTCACGATTCAGGCCAGCCATCCAGTAGCTGATGACAGAGTAGATGATGGGAACGGGCAGGTCCTCCGTCACGAAGCGAGCAATCCTCCGGGAGAGCAGGAAGGGCAGGGCGGTGGCACAGCCTTCGCTGTGTTCACGGTCGAAGACGGGCATGTCAATCGTGAGGCGGTACACCTCGAAGACGAGGAACAGGTATCCCTCCAGTGCGGCAGTGGTGTACATGAAGCCTTGCCGTGAGCGAATGCCAGCCTGGCCTCGGCCCAGGTCGAAGAAGATGTACCCTGTGCAGAGGCCCATGATGACAGCCTGCATGATGGCTGCGAGCATACCCATCGGGTCGCGATATGTCGTCTTCAGCGTCCTCGACGTCATGACTTGGACCTGGCGGGCGAATGGAGTTGCGTGTTTGTTCGTCCTGCGCGGCAACGACCGCTCATTTTCATTTGCAGCGGGTATGTCGTCTGCAGGGGGGAACCTTCTCGCGCTCTCTTCAGACCATGCCACCTTCAGCCTCTGCACCCTGGCCATGGTCTCGGCTTCCAGGTCCGGACTGCGGTTGTCCACTGCGGCGAGATCGATCAAATGCTCAGCCGGGTTGACGAATGCAGGAGCCTCAAAGCCCAGCGACTCGAACCACGGGAGAGAACCAGCCATGGGACCAGAGTACACCGGTGAGCCCCGTGATAGCAAGATTAGGTTATCAAACAAACCCCAGATCTCGGACCTCGGCTGGTGAATCGTCACCACCACTGTCCTCCCCTTCGCAGCCAAGTTCTTTAACGTCCTGACGAGCTGGAACGCACTGCTGGCATCCAACCCCGTAGTCGGCTCGTCCAGGAACAACACGCTCGGGTTCGCGAGCATCTGCACACCTATGCTCACACGACGCTTCTCGCCACCCGAGAGACCGCGGTGGGTAGTGTCTCCCACCCGAGTGTCTGCGGCCTCCTTAAGCCCAAGTTCCATGATGACCTCCTCGACCATGCGCACGCGGTCCTCAGAAGCAGACCCTGGCGGCAGTCGAAGGTCTGCCGAGTACTGGAGCGTCTCTCTGGCGGTCAGGGCCGGGAGCAGAACATCTGTCTGGGTGACGTACGCGGACCGGATGGTGTCGATACCAGGTTGTGAGTTGAAGAGAACCCGACCAGACTGGCTGAGGCGGGATGAAGAGATGCGCGAAGAGACGGTGTTGAGCAGGGTTGTTTTGCCCTGACCAGTAGTTTCAGTACCACATATCATCACACATTGAACGTGGGCGGTAGACGTACCGATCCAGAGCCGCCGAGAATGGCCGTCAGGGTGCCAGGCGCGAGAGAGGCAGACACGGATGTGAGAAGAGGTTTGATATAGGACGACGGCGCGGCTGGTCCAGATCCAGATTCAGACCCAGACCCAGACCTCGGCCCCCTCAGCCTCGCCTTGATGAGGTCGGCGTATGTCTCTGGTTCGAAGATAGACGGGGAGGTGTCTACGGTCACGCTGAGGTCACAGATACAGAGGTCCACTGGAGCGACATCGTCCAGGCTGAGCTGATTGCCAGAGGAGCGCCCAGCGAGGGAGGAGGAGGCATGGTGAGGGGCGTGAGGCCCGATAGTGCTGATGTCCAAGCTCGTGGCGACGGAGCTGCGGTCGATCTTGTCCAGGTCGACGACGTGAGACTGTTGGGCTGTGGCTACACCAAAAGGTCCTCCAGCCTCATGAGCATCTGCTGTTGAAGATGTCATGATGCGCAAGAAATAGAAGCAGCCTGGCCTAGATAGGGTGTTTCTGTGTCAAAGAACCGGGGCGTAGCAGCCTTCAACGACGACGACGACTACTACGACGGCTGATGAGCAGCACCCGTTTCAGCATGGACTCGACACCATACCTCCTCGTTTTGCATGAGCTGTCATGGATCATTTGCTGGCTTATACGTGCGCTCGTAGGCTTGGCTAAGACGTCGTGGTGTATGTATATTGAGAGTGGTGGGGAACCAAGAAAGTAGCTCGACAAGTCAAAGGACCTGGTCAAAAGTGCTGGGTCAGGAAAGGTGAGCATTGTGAGCAAACAGCGCCAAAGTGGTCTAGTGTCTGTCATCTGAACCACAATAAGTCCGTCTGTCATCATCCATGGATCTTCTAGCGGTGGAGTCTGGAAAAAAGGGGCACCCAATATTGGATCAATCTTAAGAGTATCAATTTCAGAGGCCATGGGAGGAGGTGCCGCATCTGACGCCCCCTCTAGAAAGGAAACGATTCTTCTGTGAAGGCATGGCAGATGTCTGATCCATGGCCTCCGGCACACGGGACTAAACGCCAGTCCACTTCTTCAAGGAGGAATTTTGAGTGGTGAGAGAATCCAGATAGAATCCGGCATTCACGTCCGGCCGGCGCCAAGCAGATGCTCCTGCTGCAGTGACTTGCCTCGGTCCGGATCTTGCTAGGCGATGCAACCCTTCTCGGAGGGTGTAACGCTCCGGCCAATTGCGATCGCTTGATCTCTTCCAGACGGTCTTGCAGAGGGTGTGCAACATTCTACACTTGGGGCTGATTGGGCGATAGCGAGATGGATTCGAGCTCGTCTCTCGTTACTGGTCACTGTATATGTCGACTTCAATCCGTGATGCTCGTATTGAAAAACAAGAACTACTCTATGAACACCAGTTTGCTCGGGAAATTGATCAAGACGGAGAACACCAAGAGTTCAAGATGGTGCCATGGTCAATCGACTGTTCACCTCTCTGCTCTTGCTGTGCATCACAAGCCATACAGATCCAAAATCGAAAGAATTTGTCATAATATTGTATCCTATCTATATCTAGTCCTTTTAGTGCTTCTTATGTACCTCTTGTGAAAATGCACGTCACATGTCTAATCCCATATGTAAAACTCAAACGCAATGCAGCGAGATTCGCCCTCCCAATGATGTGCCATGATGTCCCCAAACCATCTTTCTCTTTTCTCTTGTTCTTTTCCTTCTCTCTCAGGCTAGATCGTTCTCTTCTCCGTGATAGCCTCGCCCGCAGCCTTGCTGGTGACAAAACCATTATTTCCAGCGCCCATCACATATACCTTGTTGCCCCTCAACCACGTCTCCCTCACGCGGCCGACAAACTTCTTGCCCTCCCACGGCGAGCAACGGTTCTTCCAGTGCATGCCCTGGCACTCGAGCACCCACTCCTCTGTGTCATCGAACACGCACACGTCAGCGTCCAGACCAGGCTTCAGCCCGCCCTTGCGGTGCGACAGCCCAACCTGCCGCGCCGTCGCCTGCGAGCACAGGCGGACAATGTCGACAATGTCGAGCGGAGGCTCGGCGCTGGGCGCGCGCTCCTTGGCGGTGGTGTGCAGGATGGGCAGGCCCAGGCCGACGGACGAGATACCGCCCCATGCGGCAAAGAAGTCTCCAGGCACGATGGTGGTCTTGTTGTCGGCCTCGCCGGGCATGGACACGTCCACGCCAGAGTCGGAGTGGATCAGCGACCCGCCCACAAGGTCGACGTGGGGGTGATAGTGCTGCAGGTGCTGAGGGAGCAGCTTCAGCTCGGGCGTGCAGGGGCTATGGTCCGACACCACCGTCTTGATGACGCTGCTCCCGTGGTCCTTGCAGAGCTCCTCCCACAGGCCGTCCTGGTTGATCTGAGATCGGATGGGCGGGCAGCATTTGTGCCTGGTGTCGCCGTCCTCGACGTCCTCGGCAGCGAGGCCCAGGTAGTGAAAGCACGTCTCGGCCGTGATGTTGATGCCGCCCTCTCTTGCCTTTTGCAGGATGGGGATGCACTCCGTGGCGGAGAGGTGGACGATGTGCAGGTGCAGCTTGGGCGCGAGGTGTGCGAGGGAGATGATCTCGTCGATGGCGTAGGTCTCGAAGGAAGGGGGGCGCGACTCGAGGAAGGTATTGTACGCGTTGAGCTCGCCGGTGGGCGCGAGGGGCGGCTGGGACGCCTGCACTGCGTCGCCTACGCTGTCGGAGATGGGAGGGATCATCTCGGCGTGGAACATGAGGGTTGTAGGGTGGTCGGCGAGCGTGCGCATGGCGAGGGAGATGTCGGTAGAGGACACGGCTGGGAACTCGTCGACCTGTTTTTGGTGTTTGGATTCCTGGCGTCAGAAGACATGGCCAGCTGTTGACAACCCCTTTACAGATAGATAGGAGGACAACTTACACCACTCTCGATCAAGAAGCCCTTGAACCCTCTGACTCCCTTTTCCACCAGGGGGACCAGCTGGTCTGCATTGCCGGGGATCACGCCTCCGTAGAAACCAACATCGACCCAGCACTGGCCTCGGCTGGCAGCCAGCTTCTCATCAAAGCCCACCACCGTGGTGGTCGGCGGGATCGCGTTCAACGGCATATCGATCACAGTCGTCACACCACCCGACGCAGCAGCCCGGGTTCCGGTTGCAAAGCCTTCCCATTCTGTGCGGCCGGGCTCGTTGAGGTGCACATGGGCGTCGACGAGCCCTGGCAGCAGGATCTTGGGAGAATGGTCGATGTAGGTGGTGGACGGTGGGAACGAGGAAGGTGGCAGAACTTTTGGGACTATGGAGATGATCTTGCCGGTGGAGGGCGAGACGGAGATGGTGGCTGGGCTAAGGACAAGGCTGTCGTCTGGCTGGGTGAGAACCGCTCGGGTCGAGACGAGGACGGTCAAGGGACCGGACATCGACTGGGAGTCGGAAGCGCTCATTCTGACTGGTTTCGGCACTGGACAGAGAGAGAGAGAGAGAGAGAGAGAGGACAAGCGGACAGAGGGCGGATCTCGCGGATGCGACTAGAACAACAAGAGAATGCCTGAAGAGTAGGAGGAAGGGACAGATAAGCTGTAGATTGATCTATCCACCGAGCAAGATTCTCAGAAAGTAAGTGAAGTCGGTGTACAACAGGGGCAAGGTGGGTGGTGACGAGGAGGAGGAAGGCAATGGTTCAGGGAGAGAGAGTTCAGACGATGGCACTTGCGACAACCTCACAATGAATTCAACAACCGCGTTTCCCATCCCGTCAGCCCCACCATAAAAGCCCACACGCACGCCCGTAGCCCGCCCCATGGGGGGGGAGGCTGACTGTTGAGGAATCACCCTCAATGGCAAAGTGTCGCTATCATGGGTAATCGTTATCCTGGCTCGGGACGTTTTGGTCAGAGGGGAAAGAGGAGGGTAAAAGTGCGCGGGGCCCAAGAAGGGCTGGGTCTTTCAGGGAGGACCCTGCATCTCTTATCGCAGCCTCTCATTGGTGAACCGGATAGTGGGTGCAGGGGTGGGGGTGTCGGGTCTGCGTGTTCCTGGTAGAACGAGAAGATCTGGGCTAGAATTTGGACGGACCGGAGTACGCGAATGGAACAGCCGACCCGATCTCAATGACTTGCCGATTTGCGTCTTCCCGCCTCTTTGGTTCATTTGATGTGTCCTTCACGGCCCTTCACCCGTTTTCATCGAGTAAGTATCGAGTAAGTATTGTGTAATGGTCCAATGGTCCTGTGTGAAGTTTTTCCGGCTTTTATTTGCGCCTTCGGAACTCGCCGTTACCTAGGTATCTTGTCTCCTTTTCTTTATTTCCTTCATTTTTTCAATTTTTTTTTTCACACACTATGTATGGTACACCTGCCTTTTGCTTTGTACTCGACCTCGGCCTGAACAACCCGCAGCGGTTAATGTGACAGTAACTGGATCCCGACTCAGCCGAGCGGAGGTCTCCGATGTGCTGCTCCAAGAGCTAGCCCAGCTGGTAGACCACACTGCCCTCAAGCTCACTCTCTCTCTCTCTCTCTCTCTCTCTCTCTCTCTCTCTCTCTCTCTCTCTCTCTCTCTCTCTCTCTCTCTCTCTCTCTCTCTCTCTCTCTCTCTCTCTCTCTCCTCTCTCTCTCTGGTTTCGCATTGGCACAGTAACATGAATTAAATAGTCCTGCCATGGTGAGGTCGTTCTGGGGGTCAAAATTACTTCGTGGTTCTGTAAGCATTGGATCACTGCACCGTTAGCGTTTGTTGTAGTGTTAATGGCCAGTGGACATTTTCTGCCCTGCGGATGGTTTTGTGCTGTCAACACCTTGCTTCATTTTTGGCCAAATATGACCATGCCTGACGCGAGGGAGTTCAGTGTCGAGGAATCTCAACAATCTTAAAGCTACTCATAAGATCCTTCAGTAGAATAAAAGGGTAAAAGTCGACTGGAGCCATCAGGGCCTCAGGTTGATCAAATCCTGATGCTGATAGAAAGGAACGGGCTTGTGATGGCCAAGCGTTTACAATGACGTCGCAACCTGATCCTTCAATGTCAGCTCTTCCTATCATGCTGAAACAGAATCCAGTAAGCATTTGTGTTGCTCACCCACCAACAGGCAACGTGAGCTAGGTTTAGACTATCGTAAGACATGTTAGCTTTACCCTACGGATGACCTGATCGCAAAGGTGATTCAGCTGAGTACGGCATCGGCTTGTGTACCTGGGTTGTGAACAGTATACTGCGCAGAAAGGTATTGGCAGCTATTTGTGCTTCCCAGGTTGTTATTTGTAGCATGGCATGCAAGGGTGCTTAGATACTTGATGCAAATCCTTGACCTCGAGAAGAATGAGTCTCCAGAGCAATCTTTTCACAACTCTCCCTTCCTTTAGAGCAATGACAACCTTGTCCCTTGGACCTAAATCTATTGGACTGCTGACATGGTAGATGGTGAACATAAATTGTCTAAAATCTCTATGAACAGACAGGATGGTCCGTCAAAGTTGGACAACACTCTTCATTACAGATGCTGTCAGGAATTCAAGAAAGAGTCTATGATATTCATACCACTTGCTCAACTTCAGGCAAGCTGGATGTGTCCTCCGCCGACCCCTCCAGCATCATCACATGCCCGGCTGAGGGTCATCATACCTTTCAAGGACACTGATTGGTCACTCTGCTCATCGCATTGCAGTATGGTTTATCAAGAACGACAAGGACACACCTGCAACTTCATTTTCTCTCCTACTTTCCTTGAATCATCGATTTCTCATCCTCCTCCAACACGGCCTGTAAAGAATTCACCTGTTGTCTCAAGTCCCGCAAGGCGAATATGAAGTCTCCCCAGACGGTTCCCGGTCAACAAACCGATTTGCCCTTTTCCAAACCACAGCCACGAACAGTGAAGCACAGTATCCATCCACCCTTGGTTCATCCCCCCCGCCCCCCTCACCCCTACCAAAAAAAGAACAGCCGTTTGTTGGACATTCCCGCCCCCTCAGATGTAAAACATGGTATTTTTGAGCTTCTCATGAATGGTCACGGTGGACTTGGTATCGTCAACCTTGCCAGACGAGCTCCCGGCCACGGTGCTCGCCTCATCGGATCCACCCTCGAACAGATCAGCCATGTAGCGGCGGGCGCGCTCGCACAGGATGTCGGCGTGGTACGCAGGGGTACAGATGCTGACGGCTTTCGTGGCGCGGCTGTACGAGTAGCACAGGGCCTGCGTCATGCGCTCGAGCTCGTTGGCGACGGCCGAAGGGTCCTGCTGGGTAGTACCCAGCCTCTGGGCGCGGGCGCGAAAGATCTCGTCCAGGATGACGACGTAATGGGCGGGGCGGCCGGTGCCCTGGATTACGGCGTGGCTCTGCAGGTAAAAGTCCCAGAAGCTCTCCTCGGTGATGCCGCGGTCGACAACAGTGCCGGCCTTGCAGTTGCCGCCGCGGTCCATGTCCTTGGTCTGGGTCGGGTAGAAGCGCGTGTGATGACGCTTGCCCACGATGATGACGGTAATACTGGGCTGAGGCCCGTTGGCAGGGTAGGTCTCCCTGCAGGCAGCGCGAAGGAGAGGCACCTCCTCGTCGAGGACGCGCTGATACTGGCCCTCGGACACACCGTCGCGGTAGACGAGGATGTTCTCTGGGTAGCGACTGTGGTGGCCGAGGTCCAGCCAATTCTTGAGGTGCTGCTTGAGCATCTCGGTAAGGTCGCTGACCATCTCGGCCCGGGCCTTATTTTGGATGCTGAGGATGCCTGGCCACTGACCGAGATGTTTATCCGTGGAGGCAACCATGCCCGCAACAGAGGGCGCGTTGGACCTAGAGCCTGGCGACGGATGGGTGACATCGATGCCCACGAGCATAGTCTTGTCCTCATTAATGAAAGACAGGCGCGAAGGGTCGACGGACTGGTTGTTGCCTCCCAGCTTGAGATTGAACTTCAGTGCCACGTTGGCAAAGAACTGGTCCTGAGCAGCTGTGAACTTCTGGCCAACCACACAAATAGTGTGGACGCCATGTTTCACATCACCTAGCGTTTTGACCCAATTGTAAAGTTCTGTATTGTCACCCTTGTCACGGCCGGGCAGGATGACCAGCAAGAGGTCGACAGCCTTTGATGTGGCCTGGTGGAAAATCTGCTCTAGGTTCGGGTCGCTGGGGAATCGCATGTGAACCTCCTTACCAGGGAGAGGCTGGGCGCGGACAGATACGCCGTTCTTTTTGAGAGAGGCAGTGAATTTGTCGACTGTTATGCGCAGGTTGTCCATGGTATAACGAGGAGGGTAGCGAGACTGGCCGTCTATGAGAGAGATCCACGACCAAGTCTTGAGCTCGCCTGGTTTGTTGAACTGGATGTTCTCCATATTCCAGCTTCCGTTGAAGACGTTAACCACCTTGCTGCTAGGTTTGGCCCCAGGTTTTCCGTCTTTGTAGAAGACTTTGGGCTCAGGCAAGAGCCTGGCTGGCACAGTGATGAGGCCGTGTCCGATCTTCAGACCAAATTTGGCCTATTTAGTACTGTTAATATTTTCTGTCTCCCTCATCAGAGCGCATGCAGTGGGGATAGGGACTTACCAAAAGCTCATTCGTCTCCTCCGACAGACCAGCTATCCCAAGACCATCTTTGATAATCGACTCGGCATTCATCCAAGGTCCACGTACAGCAAACCGGATCATGTTTCTGGTCTGGTCGCTGCTTAGTTTCGCGATGGCGTTCTGGCCTGGCACCACAACACAGACCTCAGCGGGCAAATATGATGGCTTCTCTTCAGTACCAACATTGACAACAGGTAGGTTAGGGTTCATAGTGATGCCATAGTTCTTCTGGAAGTGGTCAAAGACAGAAATATAACGGCCAGGTCCGGCATCAGAAGCAGGCTGAGGGCCTGGGGCAGTACTCTTAGGCTTGCCCTTGCCCTTGCCCTTCTTCTGAGACGTGCTCTTGACGGGCTCAGCACCAGGCACGGTGGCAGAGGAAGAAGACTGAGGATTGTCCAAGAGCCAGAACTCGACGTTCTTGGGCCCAGCACCGAACTGGCTGACCTTTGGAGGGTGGGGAGATCGGCGACCATCCGTCTTCTTGGCCAAGGCTGCAATCGATTTAAACCGATAGATGATCTCTCCCTTCTTGTTCTTCTTTTCGCGAAGATGAGTGACACGAACACGTACGCGCCTTAGGAATTTCTCGAGAGAGCGCATGCTTCTCTCATTGGGATTGACGCCATACGTGTTCATCAGGTTTTTCAATTCGCCTTCTTGGACGAAAGCGCCGTGGCTGACATTGATGTTGACCAGGATACGATTCGTGGCAGCGCGCACGCTCGTGAAGAACCCACGGATGGCTGTCAGACCGCGACCGAGATCGTCCATGTTTTGGCTATTGGCCGCGTTCATTATCGAGAATGTCTTGCTCTTGCCAATGGTGGTAAGGGTGTTGGTTGACTTTGCATAATGATTGAGGAAGATATTGAGGGCCTGAATCATCTCGAGTTTGCTGTCGTACTGGAGACCGTCGGCCGGGTTGGTCGATGTGAGATAAGACATTAGATCGCTAACGGTCAGGGTCTTGGTGTAAGCGTATTCGATCTTGTACTGGATCGCTCCCTGCTTAGGCTCATCCTCTCCCTCGGCTTTGTAGGTCACAGTGATGGTTCCCTCTGCTGGCTCGATCTTGACGCGGGAGATGAGAGTGGCCTTGAAGTCAGTGACGATGTCATTGCGATATTTTTCAAACTCTGGTGTCTCGTTGAGCATGAGACGGATGATCTGAGTTCGCTTCTTGCCGACAACATCGGGGGTGATCTTGTTGACGGCGTATGAGTACAGGACGAGAGAGGACTCAGGGAACAGCTGGACATAATTCGCGTAGACCACGAAACGCGACGCGTTAGGGGCTGTGCCGTAACCTGGGCGTGGAGGCATGACATTGTCGCCGCCCAGGCTCATAGAACCTAGGCGAGACGCGATATCGGCAGTATTACGTGCCTGCTGGCGAGCATTCTCGACTCTCTCGACAGTACCATCAGGGACCGGGGCGCCACCTTGGGGACTGTAATGTGATCAGGAGTTAGTTGGTGATATACTGGATGAAGCATCATTATCGTGGGCGGGATAAGAGGAGGATGTGGAGAGCAGAAGACGCACGAGTAGACTTGTGGGGGAGGCCGGCCACCTCGAGCCCCTCCACCGCCACGTCCGCCTCGAAAACTACCGCGTTCGCCGCCACGGCCTCCGCCACCACGGTAGCCACCACGGTCAAAGCCACCGCGGCCTCCCTGAGGGGGGAATGCACCGCCGCCGCCGCCGCTGCCGCCTCGACTGGGAGGGCCATCGCCACGGCCCCTACCTCGACCACCTCCTCCGCCACGAGGACCTCCTCCACGACCACGGTCGGCCATCCTTGATGTTTCTGTTCAGAAAGGTGCAGACACTCGACGCTGTGCAGCTCCTAGTCAGTCAAGGATGACAGTGTAGACGACGACATGGGATGGATTACTTCTGTGCTGGAAAAGGGCAGGCTGGACGACAGAAGGTGGCTGCTTTACAGTCTGTACAAGAACATGCGACACAAGTGGTTCAATTAAAGGGACAGGGATATTTCCACCCAAAAGCTTCGCTCCCTCACTGGTTCCAGGTTTGCAGTGAAGTGCACAGGGGGGGGGGGGGAATCCAAGATGAAAGCAATGCGCAGAAAAGTGACAAATGGGTGCTTTTTAAGCAGCGACGACTCCATGTGCTTTGATGTAGAATGGGGAGTCACTGAATCAGATCGAATGATGATGCAGGTAAAAGATATGATGTGAGAGCAAGGAGGGGCAGCATGCAAGGGAGAGAGAGAGAGAGAGAGCAGCATCACCAGAGAGAGGACTCACAGCTGTTTGGAAAGGGGAGGACCTGCTCTAACAGATTGCCAGCATCATCTAGATGCCAGATGGGATCGATCAAGAAGAGATGCAAACAAGTTGTACAGAACTTGTTTGAGGGACGTCGAATGGCAAGGAAACAACAAGGGCTGAGGAAAGAATGTTTGGTTTGTGGTCAGTTGTTGTGTTGGTCGTTTGGGGTTGAGCGTGTCGATTTCCCAGAAACAGGGGTCTGAGAGGTGCTGCTGTGGGTGGATCCCAAGGTTGGGTGGGTGGGGTCTCTGGCTTCTACCCCAGAGGCTGGTGTCGTTTTGTGTGTTTACGTCGGTGATGTGGTTGAAAAGGGAGAGAGACAGAGAATGTTGAAAATGGCTGGGATGAGGGCTGTAAATACTTTTTCTCTTCCTTTTTTGTTGCAGTGCATCAGCCTTTGAGAATCAAGAGGAGACAGAAATGCAGCTGGAGCCAGAGGTGTGATTTATGAGCAGGCGTTAGCTTTTTCAGCTGCTCAGGGTGCTCAAATCATGGGTTTGTGAGCTGCAAGAGGCCTGACACTACTCCTGTGTCTTGTTTTGGCGATATGTGAGAGGGGTGGCAATTATGTGGACCTAGCCACGTGTGATAGGCAGACGGGAAAAAGCACATCTGGATAACAAAAGGTGCACGCAACTGGCACTATGCATCTTTTCAGCTTATCTGCATGCACATGTATGCTGCAGCCTGTACTGATAGTAAGTAAGTACATTCATGTACCCTTGACCACCTCTGGTCGTTCAAAAGGCAAGCCCATGTCCTCGCAACATGACAAGATGAGATTATGGAAGATTATATACTAACATTTTGTGATGCTGTGCAAGTATTGGCACACCTCCGCAGTGGCTGCCTACACGTGGAAGTAGATAAGGGTTAACTTGAAAAGCTGGTACAACGTAATCAAAAACTCTCAGTACTTGGAAGAGGGAGGACATGATGTCTAACAAGCCTGTAGATTACTTGGTCCTGAAACAGTTATGCCACTTCAAGTTTGCTTTTTGTTGTGATTACTTGCCTACCGTGCCTACTCAAGTACTCACGTACAAAGCACGTTTTCAATTTCCAGAGGTACTTTGCCACGTCGCCTCGCATGCATGATTGACCAGTCAGATCCAGTGCCACCTCACAGTTGATGTACTCTTCTCATATCTAGTCTGAGAATTGAGGTCATTCTTCCAGACTCTTTCTCTTCATGTAGATGGAGATAGCTTGGTATATACATACCCAGGATCAGAAAACACATCCGAGAACATATTGATTATTTTAGTCTCTGCACAAAGAGTTGAGAAAAGGCAGTTTCAAGAGTACAAAGTCAACGTCACCTGACGATGTTGTGAAAGCAAGTAGAAGTATGTGAAGTCAGCGTCAGGTCTGTTGCTGGTCTATTGTAACTGACTGAGAGCAAGTTAAGGGTTAGGGTTCTACTGCTCCGCTTTTCAACCTTGCCACAATTGAGCATACATGAAAGGCGTCACTGTGCAGCACTGGCGACAAATAAGATGAAATTCATCCATGGCCTGAAACACCATCTAGGCTTGCTAACTGCAGCTTTCTCAACACTCTTCTTTGATTACACATGTTTCAATCTCAATAAGGTGCATGATCGGAGTGAGGACTTTTGTTGGAAATATGACAGCACAACCCCCCTTGCAGCAGCCCTCTCAGGTCATGCATGATGCAAGCCTCATCTACAACTACCACCGCACACGCATGCCTCTCCCGACCACAGGTGCAGATGCCATCTTCTGCCTCTGCAGTCTCGACCTGCGCGTTGCCAAGCGTGCTGCACAGCTATTCCTGGATGGACTCGGCCGGTGGCTGATCTTCTCTGGGGGCTCAGGCACGCTGACCGCAGGCCGACCACAGTTTCGCGACAACCCTGAGGCTGTCGTCTTTGCAAGCATTGCGAAGGGCATGGGTGTACCTGAGGACAAGATGATTGTCGAGCCAAGATCGACAAACACTGGGGAGAATGTGCGTTTTACGTATGAAATGTTGAGGGCCAGGGGCCTGCTTCAAGGGAGAGACGAGTCTGCTGAGACAGGTATCCGGTCCTTCATCCTGGTGCAGAAACCCTATATGGAGAGGAGGACATTTGCCACTTTTATGAGACAGTGGCCTGGGATGACTACTACTGATGACGATGATAACAAAGATGCAGAAAAAAGGAGGAGATCTGTATTCACTGTCACGTCTCCTCAGCTGGATTTTGCAGAGTACCCAGACGAAAACAACCCGCGGGACCTGGTCATCAACATCATGGTCGGAGACCTCATTAGGATTCGAGACTACCCTGCGAAAGGCTACCAGATAGAACAGGATATTCCCGACGATGTATGGGAGGCAGGCCAGAGACTACTTGCTGCCGGGTTCAACAAGCATCTCCCGTGAAGGAGGTTGCTCGTCTATTTCTTCATACCCCCTCGTACCGATCAGACAGACTCATGCTTGACAGGGCGATACACAAAATGATCAAACTTGGCCTCCCTCGCCGTCCCGTTCAAATCCGAGCACGCCACACCAACAAACGCCCCCGTGAAGCTGCCATGCGTCTGATGCCCACCACACTCGTCAGAGAGGATGCTGGCGTCGTACACCGGCCCGATCTCCTTCAGCGTGCCGTCGCCCTCACCCTCCATGGCGTAGAAGAACTGCAGCTCCGACCCGCGGATGGTGAGCGCCAGCCTGACTTTCCCCTCGTTGGGGATCTTGACCGGCTCGAGGAGCGGCTGCTCCTGCAGATAGCCATCTGGCCACGACACATCCGAGACCATGAGCAGCAGCTCCCTCTGCCCGTCCGAGTCCGCAGAGACGACCAGGTAGTAGAAATTGTATCGGCAGTAATACGCCGTCAGCCCTGCAAACTGCCTCTCGTCTTCCGGCTGGAAGTCCACCACCGTCTCGGCGTCATATGAGAAGTGCGTCTGCCGCCGGGCCACGAGCGCCTGCTCGAACCACGACCCGATCGTCTCTCTCCCGTACAGCACGAGCTGGCTCTTGTCCTCACCCCCGCCTACTTTGAAGATGCGCTCTGGCTCGGGCGTGCGCAGCCACTGGAAGTCCTTGTGCAGCGACCCCGCCTCAAACGTGTACCTCATCTCGGCCCAGTACTTGTCCTCATCCCTGGTGCCGGGCACGTCCACCCACAGGCTCGGCACCGGCCCGTCCTTGACATACAGCCACCCGTCGTCCGCCCACCGGCACTCCTGGATGCTCGTCTCCCTGCCCAGGACACACCGCCTGCGCTCGGTAGTCGGTCGCCCGCACAGGTGCACAAGATATGTCCTCCCGTCCGGCGTGTCGACAATATCACCATGCCCGGCCTTCTGGATCGCCGCGTCTGGCGCGTCCTTGCTCGTGAGGATGTGCTTCTGCGGGTGCACCTCGTACGGCCCCCAGAGATCCCGCGACCGCGCGAGCGTGCAGGCATGCTCATACGACGTGCCCCCCTCCGCCGTCAGCAGGTAATACCACCCCCCGCGCCGGTACAGATGCGGGCCCTCGACCAGCGCCAGCTCCGTCCCCAGGAAGATGGTCCTCTTGGGCCCCACGAGCCTCCCCTGGGCAGCATCGTACTCCTGCAGCACGATGCCCGCAAAGGCGCTGTCGCCCAGCAGCCCGCCGCGCCGCCTGTGGTCCCAGAGCATGTTGACGAACCACTTGCGGCCCGTGTCCGGGTCGTGGAACAGGCTGGGGTCGAAGCCGCTGCTGTTGGCGTAGACGGGGTCCGACCAGGGGCCCTCGATGCGCTCGGCCGTGACAATGTAGTTATGCGCGTCTTTGAACGAGCCGTCCTTGCGCTTCACGTCCGTGTACACAAGGTAGAACCTGCTGCCGTCGTGCGTCAGGCAGGGGGCCCACACGCCGCAGCTGTCTGGGTCGCCGCGCATGTCGAGCTGGGACCTCCGGCTCAGGGGCCGACACACGAGAGTCCAGTTGGCGAGGTCGGTGGAGTGGTGGATCTGCACGCCTGGGAACCACTCAAACGTGCTGTTGGCAATGTAGTAGTCCTTGCCGACGCGGACGATGGAAGGGTCGGCGTTGAAGCCAGGTAAGATGGGATTGAGTATCTTGGGCATTTTGTTTATCTTTGTTCTCTTGATGAAGGGGGGGAGGAGAAGAGGAAAAAGAAAAGAGAGAGGAAAGGAGAGAGATACACAGAAGAGATCAGACCAATACCTGTACACAGTCCGATCAATGAAACATCTGTAATAGGGGATTATGAAGCCAGGGCTGAGACATGCCATTCATGCACCCAAAATATAAACTTACTTACAATACAAACCCTCAATTCGGTGGATCACCAAGGAGGAGAAACCGGAACTAATGCATCGTATTGAATTCATCCATGCACTTTACCCGGCGGCTCTTTCGTTTTGGTCCGGGGCTCACTCACCCGACTTCGGGTCAACTTTGTCGTGCCAGGATATAGTCCTGTTAGTTTTATGACGGGGCATCGACACAGTAGCACAGTAGATACTGCGAACATAATTTGTATATGAGCATCGCCTTACTACGTCTCTGGAACATGGTGCTTCTTCCAGGAGCCCTCGTCACGTAAGTGAGTGGACGTGGATTATCACAGAAAAGAGTAAATATATGATGCAAGTTGAACATTTGAAGATTTCGCTATTGTGGTATCATTAACTATATCGTTCTCATCACCCCCATGCAAGTAGGGTAGGTATCAAACCCAAGTTGTGAATCTAAAGGATAAGGGAGGATGACGGATACGCGGAAGAAAGGAAACTTGAGGAAACCCGACCCATAGAAAATTACCACATCCACCTCTTGCGTCCCCTACTGCCATCCTTTCATTACCTCTTTCTTTTGTCTTGTCTTGTCCTTTCCTGTTTTTTTTCTTTCTTCTTTTCTAATAGAAGCCTTCTTCCCTTAATCCTCAAAGAACTGGATGATATACTTGAAGTCCCTCACCCCCAAGCCTCTCCTCGGGTAGCAAAGGTAGACCGGCTCACCGTACGCCCCGAACTTGGACCTGAACTCGCTCTTCTTGTTGAGCTTCAGGCTCTTGGTGATGGTGTCGTATGTCCTGGCGAGGAACTTGGCGCGTACCCCGCCCAGGTTGGCGCCCGGAATAAACCTCTCCGACACGCCCGCGCCAAAGGTGACGGGCCCGCTGACAGCCGCCAGCGCCGTGACCACCGTCGCCTCGATGACACCCGAGGGCGTGTCCGGGAAGTCGAGCGCCCACTTGACCTGCCAGCCATGGCGGGGCGCGAGTTGGGCCAGGACCACCATCGCCATGACGCGCGTCTCCTTCTTGCCATCCTCCTCGAACTCCTTCTCGGCCGCAAAGTATCGCCGGTGCTCCATGTCGACCCAGGGCCTGATCTCAGTCAGGTGCACCTGTTTCTTGCCCCCGCGCTTCTCCTTCCATGCCTCGATCTGCTTGTCTGCGCGCGCCCTAAATTCCTCATCGGGATGGCTGATCTCCTCGATCTTGATACCTTCGCGCTCGATCTTGCGCGCCTCACGGCCCTTGGGCCCGCCGGCGTGCTTGTCCGCGTCCACGCGCTGCTCTTCGACGCATGTGAGCGTGCGCCAGCCCAGCCTGTGGCCCAGGACGTCCTGGACTGGTTCTGAGACCAGCATCCAGACCGGCGTGAGCTTGAGCTCCTTCTCGACGAATTTGACAAAGTCCTTGACCACCATGTCGACCTGGGTCGGGTCGCAGAGCGGGTCGCCGGTAATCATGGCGAAGCGATTCTCCTTGGTGACGTAACCCACAGCCGCGCCCGTGGACTTGTGGCGCCAAATCTCGAAGCGCTCGTCGAGCCACGAGGTGTTGGTGGCGTCGCCATAATTGGCGATGAGCTTCTCCAGGGGCCATTCGTCGGTGCCCATGGGCCGCATGTGCGTTGTATCGCACTCCGGGTGAGGGAGGCGGGCAGACCTCTCGGGCAGCGACTTGGGGTCGCGGTGGTACAGCGTCGCGTAACGCACATCGACGAGCTGCAGCGTCCACGCGAGGATGCGCTCGAGGCCCAGGCCGGCACCGCCGTGTGGGGGTGCGCCCAGGTCAAAGGCCTCGAGGTAGGCCTCCATACCATCCTCAACCATGCCGGCCTGCCGCATGTTCTCGCGCAGCTCCGTGGCGTTGTGGATGCGCTGCCCGCCGGAGCACACCTCCTGCCCTCGGATGAAGATGTCGAACGAGTTGGTCCACTTGGGATCCTCGGGGTCTTTGTGTGTGTAGAAGGGCCGAGCATTGGCGGGGAACTTGTCGAGGATATAGTAGTCTGTATTGAACTTCTCCTTGACGAGCTCGCCCAGGCGGATCTCGTCGGGTGTGGAAAGGTCTTCTTCCTCGACGTCGACGCCGTCATCGCGCAGCATTTGTAGACCCTCGGTGAAGGGGAGGATGAGGGTCTCGTCCAGCCAGACAAGGTCCTCGGAGGGCCACCGCTCGCGCACGACTTGCAGTTCAGGCATGGAGTGAAGGGTGCGGAAGACCTGTTTCAGGAAGGCGTCGACCTCCATCATAACCTCGTGATAGTCATGCTGGATGGCCATCTCGAGGTCAAGACCCGTATACTCGGTCAGATGGCGTTTGGTATTAGAATTTTCGGCGCGGAAGACGGGGCCAATCTGTAGGAAGAGGAGAAACACAAGGGGTTAGTTGATGTACGTGCTATTTGTTTGCTGAAGGCTCAAATGTAAGGAGAGGGACAGAGTAAGAGATCGCCACGAACCTCAAAGACTTTGCCGAAGTCGGCAGACACGGTCATCTGCTTTGCCAGCTGAGGGCTCTGAGCCAGGAAGGCTCGGCGGCCAAAGTAGTTGACCTTGAAGACCTCGGCGCCGCTCTCAGTGGCGGCAGGCTGCAGCTTGGGGGTCTGGATCTCGATGAAGTTGTCCTTCTCCAGCACCTCGCGGAAGACCCTGGTGATCATGCTCCGGATACGGAACAGGGCCTGGTTAGACGGGTGTCTCAAGTCGAGGATGCGGTTGTTCAGGCGCTGTTGGGTGGTCTCGGGCGGGTCATAATTGTCAAAGGTGAGATCGCGGGCCGGGTTGACGAGGTGGATGGAATAGACCTCAATCTCGAGGTCTTTGTAGGTGGCGCTGCGAACCTCCTGCGGCGGCTTCTGCAGCGCGCCGGTCACCTGGACCAGCGACTCGGGTTCGAGGCGCTGCACCCACTTGACGAAGTGCGGGGTGTCGTGCTGCAGGACGCCCTGGATGGAATGAGTCTGGTCGCGGAACAGGAGGAAGTCCATGTGCTTGGAGATATTGCGCTGGTGGTGGATCCGGGCGCGGAAGGTTACCTCCTCGCCCTCCTTCCTCTCCGTGACCTCGGGCAAAGAGAGCAGCTCCTTAGCGCCCGTGACCCAGCCGTAGCGCGCTTGGGTCTCCTCGTCCTCCTCCATCATGGCGAGCTGGTCCTCGAGCTTGCGGCGCTCCTCGACCTCCTCGCGATCCTTCTCCTGGCGGATGGCCTTCTCCTCCTTGCGCGCCCGTCTCTCCTCGGTGCGGCGGGTGGCCTTGCCCGAGGCGCCGGTGCTGGCCGCGCTGGAGGCCGAGGTAGAGCGGGCATGGTCGTCTCCCCTGCTCAGGCGGCTGAACCTGCTCCTCGAGGCAGAGGGGGACCTCTGCCCATCACCCGTCTTCTCATCGATGCCATGGTCGACGCTCGACCTCGGGGAGATGGCGTTGACGAAGTTGTGCAGGGCCGTCATGACTGTGGCTCTTTGCTTCTTTCTGTTGCTGTCCTTCTTATTCCGGCTATCTTGTCTGTCTTTGGTGCTCTGGTTCGTCTGTCTATTCAGGGTTGACTTCCGTTTCTAGTTGTTGCCGTTACTCAAACAGGACGAGACGATTCCCATCTAATAGTGGACAAGGTATCTGAGCAAGGAGCAGGTGTGAATATGACTGTGGAAGTAACCAAGTGTATACGCAGGATGGGTATCAAAAGGCAAAAGTTAAGAAAAATCAAACTGAGAACGTGAGATAAGGTTGGTGTGCATGTGTGAGTGTGTGTGGGAGAAGCTGAGAGAATGTTGTGCGGTGGGGATGGGTGAGTTGTTTTTAAAGGTAAACAGGAGGACGGGAAGAGTAGAGGGAGGCGGAAGAAAGCCATGTACGAGTAGTAGGTATGTACCACTATGGTATGCAAGTGTGTATTTGTGCGTAAAAGTACGTATGCATGTACATTGCGGTACACAGCAGACATAACGGCTTTTTCGGAAGGCCAGGGCTGGTGATTTGATACGTAGGGCGACCATTTTGCTTACCATGGCCTTGGTCCTGTTTTCTTTCTCCCTTTCCGCTTCACGCTCCGTGTGCCATTCAATGCCCTCTCGAACCTGGTTTGTACTTTCCGGTGTTACTCTGTGTATGGTACACCACAGAACAGAATAGACAGGCTGTGGTGCAGACGATGATGCTGATGATAATCGGTGGGATCTGTTGGTTGGGTGTGAGTGCTCAGTGTACTTTGGTACCTACATGGTAAGAAGAGTCTGGAAGCGGGAGGAGCGTTTTGGGTAGTCGTGACCTGCAGCGGTGGGTCCCATATGACGTTGTTGTGATGTACCGTAGTACGTATTCTAGCAGGCACGACCGGCCTCAACCCCTGGACCTCGCGCGGTTACTTCCGGCGGACGGGGCAGGTTTTTTTTCTCTCACGATCGAGAATCGTCGATGAGGAAGTGATGGTCCGCACCGTGCGGAGCCTTTGGTCCTGACGAGCCATGCGAATTATTTTTATTTTTATCCGCGAAGAGGCAGCCTACCCATCTACTATGGTATCATTTGACATGCTACATAGTACGTATGTACCGGAATTTCCGTTACAAGTACAATACCAAGACAGGGAGAAGGAGTCGGAGATGTTGATGGACCCAAAAAGAGCAAAGTAGCGAGAACGGGGGGCACTGATGTCCCTCTGTTTTTGTGGATTGCGTACAAACAAGCTCGAAAAGTTGAGGGATGTGGCTTGGTTGTTCCCCGCCTTTTGTAAAGTCATGTTTGTATTAGCAGCAGAGACAAGTATCCTCTCACAAACTAGTTCTCTCTCTCTCTCTCCTTCATCACTTACGTGCGCACCGTCAGAATTGTCTCGCCCGGTGGTGGTCAGGTGAAGTCGGGAATGCAAAACAAGGAAGCAGAACCTCCCCAAACAACGCCAAGGCGGGTCCGGCACATGCATGCCACCGTCGCAAAGTTGTGTGTGTGTGCCTGTGTGCGTATGGTTGGTGTGTGGCTAGCAGTAGTACCGGGCGGGTATCCAAGGCACCCCAGATACCCGTCGTCGCCCATTGGCAGGGCGAACGAAGGTGCTGTAGCAACGGAACTTCTGCTCCAGATCTGGGAGGCTAGGATGGCACCGTAATGGTAGGCAGCATTGAGCTGAGGGAGTGTTTGGAGATGAGGCGGGGGGCAAATACTACCATGACACTACTTACTATAGCTACATGCGACACAAAACGAGGTACAGCAAGGACTACATGGTGCATGCAGCACATGGGACTCAACTGGAGCAATGCTGGCAGTTTTGAAAAAGGGGGGGGGGGGGGTTGCTGAGTCACCCCTCGATGCCGTCTCAAAGTCTCTTTCGCTTCGTCCCGAGATGACCCCACCATGCGTGGTCCCTCTTTACCATTGCGCCATACCATGTAGCCCCGCGCAGCAGCGCCCCACACAGACGTCAATTTACCAGGGCTGCCCACAGAACTGGGAACTTGGTCGAAATTTGTGACGTCACTGGCAACTTGTTACCAACCTCAACTGCATCTGACAAGTACAACGTGTTCTCGCCTAGGCTACAGAGTAATCACTGAATTACTATGGCACACAGTACATCGTACTGAACAGTTTGAACGCTGCCAAGGGCTGAAAACTATGGCATCTTGGTTACTACTGTAGCCTTGGAGATGGTAAGATCTCATTCAACATGATCCTTGGGTCGCATTTTCAGGGGCGCAGACGATCAAGGGGAGGAAGTCTAATACATCCATGTCTTTCAGCATGTTCCTTCCTGCGACGCCATATTCATGATGGGGCATCCTCCTCTTCCTTTGCAACAACAACAATAACGACAACATCTTACCTCTGTCTCTATCCCCTCTTTCAACAGACCACTTATTATTTAGTGCGTGACTGCCTCTTTTCATGTGAACACCTGACTATCGTGATCTGAACATGACGTCGTTGCCTTCTTGAATTCCCACACACCCACTCAACTAAGCCACACACCTAATCTATACGAAATACTGTTCTCGATCTCTCCTCTCCCCTCCGCTTCCTTAAACACTGATCTCCGATCCTAATGCTTGCTATCGGATCAGTGTTGTGTGAGCTTTAACAAAAATCACAGCTGTCGATCGAGAAATCTTTCAGCTCTGCCTCCACCTATCGACGTCCTCCTGCAGACTCTAGCTCCTCCTTAGCCTCGTCAACCGACCCACAGATTCCTAACACACAAAGGACGTCCCGCCCTTCTTAAGGGAACACGGGAAAATGTCAGAGACCGCCGTCGAGCCTCTGGGCCAGCAGCCCGACCCGCTCGAGGAGGCCCGCGACGCCGTCAGCGAGCCATTCACCGACGTCTACCACAACCCTCGAGAGTCGTCGTCTCGCATGGGTCTCGAGGCGCGCGCCTACGCCTACAGGGCAGGGGCCTCACTCGCCTTTGGCATGGGCAACATGGTCAGCCCTGCTGTGCCCTCGCCGCACATGACCGTCTACTTGGACTCGACCTTTTCGAAACAGTACAGCGGGAAGGACAAGATCCGCGCCTACGTCTGGACACCAGACAGGCCGCGCATGGGCTCGCGAAAAGGCAGCAAGGAGAGCGTCAAGAGCATCAAGAAGGAGGAGAAGAGGGAGAGGAAAGAGGAGAAGAGGCGGGAGAGGAGGGAAAGGAAAGAGAGGAAGAAAGGAGGCCGCGAGACGACCACTGAAGGTGCCAATGGTCTGCGGCCGCCGCTGTCCCGCCTCTCCACCAAGGCCTCCGTCACAGACGACGAGGCGACCCTCACCGATGGCGATGCTGCTACCGAGAAGAATCAGACAATGAGGCCATCCACACTGTCGCGCCTGTCCTCGCGGCTCTCGAACAAGTCTTCAAGGTCTCTCAAGTCAACGCTGTCCAGGTCCAAGTCCTCGCTGTCTCTGCGCTCTACCCCGTCCGCCTCTCAGGCCGACATCAACCCTATGGACAAAATCCCCTCACTCCTCACGCCGCAGGCCGACCCGCGGTCCCGCCGGCCGGCCGTCATCAACTTCCACGGTGGCGGCTTCGTGCTGGGCCAGGGCACCGACGACGGCCGATGGGCCATGGCGGTCATGCAGGCGCTGGGTGCCGTCGTCTTCTCCGTCGAGTACAGGCTGGCGCCGGGCTACCCGTTCCCCACGCCCGTTGAGGACTGTGCCGATGCCGTGCTACAGATTTGGAGGCGCGCCGACGAGTTCTGGATCGACCGCGACAGGATCATGGTCTCTGGGTTCTCGGCTGGCGGCACGCTGGCGCTGGCGAGCTGGGTGCTGCTTGCTGATTACAAGCGGTGGGGATACGAGATCAAGCCTGACCCGGACCTCGCCAAGGGCATGTCAGAGCTCTCTGTGGATGACACAGGGGATGACGACACTTCTGCCAAGGGGCAGGATGGGAAAGCAGACCCCAAAGTCCCCCAACTGGCCGGGCTGATGCTCTTCTACCCGCTCCTCGACTGGACGCAATCTCGCCCGCGCAAGCGTCTCACTTGCTCCAAGCCCGAGTTCACCCTCAGCCGGACCCTGACGGACCTCTTCGATGCATCCTATCTCTATCCCTACGAAGAAGTCAAGTCCCAGCTCGATAACCCCCTTCTCTCGCCAGGTCTCATGCCCGACGACTTGCTGGACAGGTTGCCCCCGGTACAGCTATGCCTGTGCGAGTACGACATGCTGCTTGCCGAGGGCCGCCGTTTCTACGAGCGGCTGCAGGCCAGGAAGAAGGAATCCGGCGCCCGCGAGGTTGAGAAGGCCAAGCATGCGTGGGACAAGCCGAGCGGCCTCCTGTACAGCCCGCCTGAGAGCATGGGCATCGAGTATGGCGAGGCGGTACGTGTGATGGCGGGGTGGATCGGACGTGAGGAAGGGAATGGGAGCGGCGAGGACCTGTCGCAGAGGGAGAGGGAGAGGGAGGAGCAAGGCAACTTACGGCATCCAGAGGCGTAGACCGTCTGTGTGTGAAGATGGACGAGAGATGATTGAGCGGCATAGAGGATGCTACAGTAGAGGATCTTGCTTGTGGAGTCTGTCCCAGAGCATGTCAGAGCATAGAGTTTTGTGTACAACAGAGAGCATGCAGCGTATAGAAGTAGATCTGGAAACAGCATTGGGGTTTCTCATTTGCTTTTGGAAGAGGGAAGAGAGAAGAGAGACCTCCTGGTTCACCCAACATTCTGCACTTTATATATTATTCTAGTCAGCATCTCGTTCATAGCCCAAGGCTCACATGTCAACACTTAAGCAGCTTATATGAAGTAGGGAACGAAGCAAGCGTCCATTGTAGCGAGCGTTTGGGTGTCAAACCCGCACACGAAATGAAAGTGAAATCAGGTGAGCACTTTGGCGCATCAAGATATATTGTAGTCAGGTTCCGCTTAGCAATAGTTGGTTTGGTGGAAGGGAACAGGGAGAAAGTGCCTGTGAACTACTATTAGATGCAAACAGCTGTGCATACCTCATAAGCTGTTGAAAACTTTGTTTTCCCCGAACGTGATTGAAATGCCAGTAGCTCGCTACTGCCGAGTTTCCCTCAGGACAGTAATGATGAAAATACCCAGTCTGGAAGAGAAAACAGTTGCAGGTTATCCCATCCAGTATGAACTTATTAAAATGAAACGCCAAGTCTCGTCCGTCTCTTGAGTGGGTGCCATTCAGGCGAATTAGCCGTTCACCCAGAAATTAATTACCTTTAATTATCACTCTTGTTCAGCGCACCCTTTCTTTGATTAACTACTCTTCAAGATCTCTGAGGGGTCCAGGACAGCATGAACAGAGGTATAGATGTTGCAATTGTTAAAAGACCACGTTGACATTCAACTGTCCAGCCAACTTTCCGAAGCCAGAGGAGCTCATAGATGCACTGAGGTTTCGGGAGTGGTTTCGGGAGTGATTGCATCTTCTTGACAACTACAAGCAAGCTGATCTGTATAAATAAATTGCAGATGATCTGGCTAAATGCCCAAAACCCTCCGTGACGGAAGACGCCTGCTGATATACACGCGAGATACAGTATGAACCAGCAAGGCCGGAGTGTTACATTCCGGCCAGAGACGCTTCAACCATGGGCATTTTCCCCAGTGCTAATGTATATGTAATGGCCTCGAAGCATCTCATTTCATTTTCACTTTTCTTCTCGTCCTCACTCACCTTAGTCTGCACTCCACTCTTCCTCTTCCCAACCCTCTCCCTCAACCCAACCCTGCCCCTCCAAGACCGCACCCTATTCCACGATGCTCCTCCCCGTCGTCCTCCTCCCCCTTGCTCTCGCGGCCGTCCCAGCCCTCGCCCAGATCTCGGACGACTTCGAGAGCGGCTGGGACCAGACCAACTGGCCCATCTACGCGCCCGACTGCAACCAGGGCGGCAGCGTGACCCTCGACAGCACCACGGCGCACAGCGGAAAGAACTCGATCCGGGTGAACGGGGCGAGCGGGTATTGTGGGCATATCTTTTTTGGGACGACAAAGGTGCCCAGTGGGGATGTTTATGTGCGGACCTGGCTGTGAGTAACCCCTTGATTTCCTTTCTCTCTCTCTCTCTCTCTCTCTCTCTCTCTCTGCTTCTTGTTCTCTTTTTTCATAGACCAAAAGTCAGCTGACAACATATTCTCGTTCGTGCTCAACATCCAGAAAAGCAACCACCGCCCTGGGCTCCGACCACGTGAGCTTCATAACCCACCCCGACGCCGCCCAGGGAACGAACAAACACCTCCGCATAGGCGGGCAGTCCTCCATCCTCATGTACAACCGCGAGTCGGACGACGCCACCCTGCCGGACCTCAGCCCGGCCGGCATCGCCACCTCCGAGGCCCTGCCAACGGGGGAGTGGGTGTGTTTCGAGTACCACCTTGGCACGGACGGGACGATCGAGACGTGGTTGGGGGGAGATGCGATTGCAGGGTTGACTGTGGGTCCTGGGATCACGAATGCGAATGATGCCGGTTGGACGAGGGAGACGTATGTTCCTGATATCACTGGGGTGTATTTTGGCTGGGAGAGTTATTCGGGAGGGACGAACACGTTTTGGTATGATGATGTTGCTGTTGCGTCCACGAGGGTGGGGTGTAACACTACCGCTGCGAGGTGATGATCTGATGAGGTGGTGGGAGTATTCATGGGACAAGAAAAACCTGTATATACAATGTAAACGGAAAGCAATACAGCAAAGCAAAATCGTCGACCGCACTTTTTGGTCGTTTTTCCCTCTCTTGTCCAAGAAATTATTCCTTCTTTTCCACACACCAAAGCGCCGCTGAAATGCTTCTTCTTGTTCTTTTCCATCTTCTTTTCCATCTTCTTCTTCTTCTTCTTCAATTGTAAAATATTTTTCCCCTTCCTCTCTATAGCGCTTGCTCACTTTGTCCCCATTCCGTCTCTGCATAACCAACCAGCCCTTCATTACAGACCCTGCCTCACAAGAAGCTGCTCACAATCGTGATGGCAGTTGTATAGACCATCCCCACCGCACCCAGCACCATCAACGCCACGTCCAGGGCCTTCTCCCTCGTCGTGCTCGCCACGGCACGATAGTGCAAGAATGGCGGGTACATATACACCAGTGGGACGCAGGCCACGCTCCCGATGAGCGCGACAAAACGGTCCAGGTTCGCGCTCCCGCCGATACTGATCCCGCAGCAGAGAATGACCAGGAACGTCCTGAAGAAATTCTTCTTCCACTTGGTCCACAGGTCTTTCTTGCCGCTGCGGTGACCAAAGATCCTGCCCTCGAGGATTCGCATGGCCGGGAACAGCTGCACGGGATTTCCTATCAGCACAGCCAGGGCGTAGATGAACTGGACGGCGTTGACGAGCCTTGAGGTCTGGGGGAAATTGTCAATAACCTCGATCTGAGTGCGCGAGCCAAAGGTGGCGTAGCACATGGCGCCGACAGAAGTGTAGATGCAGGTGATGATCAGCATGACGACGCCCAACAGCGGCTCGAAATGCTCTGGGCGGCGCATGGACGCGTGGATGGGGATGATGAGGCCGATGCCCTCAAAGGTGAAGATGGAGGCGCCGATGGTGAGAGTGTAGGCGGCCGGGTTGAAGAGCTGGACCGAGGGGTCGACACCGTGCCTGGCCAAGGCAGTGATGTCGAAGTCCCAGATGTAGACCAGGCCGATAAGGATGAACACGTCGGCGAGTGTGGCTGCGAAGCCCAGCTTGCTGATGTCCCGGATGAAGCTCAGGGGGATGAGCAGCGCGGCCTGCAGGGCAATCAAGGCCTTGGTGCCGAGCGGGTTTGACCCGTGCGTGACAGCCGTCAGGAAGGAGCCCCAGTTGTCGGCGACGAACACCAGTCCTGTACACACGAACCCGAGCTGCGACAGCGTGATGCTTGCCAGGATGATGGTGCGCATCTTGTCGCCCGCGATGGCCTGTCCTATGTCGCCATAGGACCCACCCACGGCGGTGCGGCACTTGAGCAGCAGATGGAAGGCCCACATGGAGATGGCGGCGATAGACACCAGGCAGAGCGACGAGAAGAGGATGCCGCCGTTGTTGAAGGCCTTGGGGAGGAACATGATGCCTGTTCCGATGAAGGCCTTGAGCAGGGTGAAGAAGGTCTTGGCCGTACCCGCATTGCCGGGCCTCATGGCACGAGAGGACTTGCGGCGCATCAGAGGCCTCCGCCGCCGAACGAGTGGGCTCGTCTCGTCAGGCTCCTGGTCGTCCTGGTCCTGTGACCCAGGTGTGGCCTCGTCGTCCGTCAAGAGCTCGGACTCGTCTATGTCGGAGTCGGCGAGATCTTCACCGGCAAACGAGCCGTACAGGTCGAGAAACTCGACAAAGTTTCGCGTCACGGGGATGCTCGCACCGCCAGAGAAACCGGGACGGGTCCGCCTCTGCTGTGCCAGCACATGATGGCGACGGAAGCCCTGCGGCCCCGTGATCTCAGTGGCAGTCATTTCGTCATCTGGCCGCAGCAGATCGGGCGTAGACGTCCTTTCCGGGTGGGAAAAGGTCATGGCGCGCTGCAGACTAGCCTTGACAGGAATCTTGAAGAGCGCACGATGGATATCACCACCCTGCAGGCGGAGCGATGAGCCCCCTTGCAGCTCATTTTGGGCGTCTTCGTCGTGATTGATATTGCCGTTGTTGTTATTGGTACTTGTGCTGTTGCTGCCGTTGTTTGCCTGGTCTGGGCTCGCCTCAGCATCGGTGTCTGCAGCAGCTGCAGCAGGGCCTGGACCGTCGAAACCATCAAAGGCAGCTGTGTAGCCAGGCGGGAGATGGTCCGCTATGACAGAGGCCATACGCTGTTGCTCATCCTCTCTTGGGTTGGGGGTACCACTGTTGAGCTGTTCGAGCAGGTCCTGTTGGGACAGAGGCAGTGTATCCTGGTGTGATGCCATCTTGCTGATGAGAATGATGCCGAGAACAGAGTCTTCTCTCTTCCCTTTCTTTTCGTGCTGGTAAAGATACTAATGATGTAAAGACCAAAAGGGTGGGGGGTTGCGCTTCCTTCAATCTGGGACCGTATCCTGCGTTCCGTTTTATCTTCACATTGTTGGGGCCTGCTGTGATGCTGTTCTATAGCAAAGGCAGGTGAGGTGAGGTGATGATGATGTGTAAAATTGAGGTGTTGTATGTAAAGACAACAAAGGTAAAAGTGGACATTGACTCAGGCCCAAGTGGGACAAGGTTTTTCGCTGGTCTCGACCTTGATTGCATGAAGTTGTCACTTTTTGCTGGGGAATTGGTGGGGACTCTAGGTTTTGTTCAGGCGAGAGGTTGGGGCCCTGATGGGACCACAGGGGTGGCCTGTCCAGTGCTCCGTTACCGCTGGAGAAACTCTCCCTCTCAGGGGTTGCTACTTGTGATGACGTACATTGGGAGGTATGCCTTCTTAAATGCGGTGAACAAGCATCATGTAGTACTGAGAGTGCGTGCTTGCGTTCATTTCCAAGAAAGCAACTCTCAAATTTAGGTGCCTTCTTCCACCAAGTTGTGTTCTTTTCTTAGACAGGAAAAAACTGTCTTGGCTACTGAAATGTGACATCTTTGAGAACAGCAATCACATGTTCAGTCGATCTGCAGTGAGGAGAGGCGCAGTGAGGTGAGGAGGCAGGGTTGTGCTGCTTGTTTCACAGCATGGAAAATTCTAGACCACCCCAGTATTTCTGCTGTGACTGGCATATCAACAATTGGATGTTAAACACTACTACGGCATTGCAGTTGTTGCTCGAGCAGAGCAGAAGCTGGCATTCTTGGTGTGAGAAGATGCATGCCTAATTGCCGTCGTTACTGTAGTCTACACAGTTCACCATAATTATTTACTGCATTTTCTATGCCTGCAAGGACAAGACCTTATAAAAAGCAGGAAGATGAGTAAGACTCTTTGTGGAAACTGGAAAACCACTGAAATAGCCCAGGACAATAATATCCAAATACGTGGTTGAGACAGTAGACACTCTCCAAGGTGAGATTCAAAGTAGCCCAGCTGCAGGTTTCATCCCAAGATTCACAATTCCTACCCCAGATTTCGGAATCACTACCGGCAACTACGCTGCGGCTCTCAGGTGTGGGGTTGAATCGGTAAATATTCATAGTCCCGTCCCTGGTATTGATATACTTATCCTCTTATCAAGGGTGTTTATGAGTGCACTTTAATTCTAGGCTATTGACCAACACATCTTGACTTTCAGACTGTTGCTATCTTTCTTTGCACATATTCCACCTAGTTCAGACTCGAAAGCCATGAATCGTCTTGTAACCCAGGTCTCGTCTCGGCCCTCTGGCCTCGGGAGAATAGCAGCAGCAGCAGCAGCAGCAGCAAGAAACTCCCCAGCAGCCAGCTCATTCTCGTGCTCACCCTCACGCCACCTCAACACCTCCAGTAACCCCCTCCTCCATGCCTCCGTTTCACCAGCAGCCAGCAGTACCACCACCACCACCACCCCCACCCCCAACGTCAACCCACACCGCGCACCACCAACACCCGTCCAGTCCCTAGGCAAGACCAAGACGGGCCGTTCCCTCCAGATCCGCACGTATCCCAAGTTTGCCACCCTCGAGCAGGAGCGTCAGTACCGCAAGGAACACCTCGCGGCGGCCTTTCGCATCTTTGCCGACCGCGGCTACGACGAGGGCGTGGCGGGCCACATCTCGGTGCGCGATCCGATCCTGACGGACCACTTCTGGCTGAACCCGCTGTCCAAGCACTTCAGCCAGATGCGCGTGTCGGACCTGATCCTGGTAGACGAGGACGGCTTCGTCGTCGAGGGCGACGAGCCCATCAACACGGCCGCCTTCACCATCCACTCGGCCATCCACAGGCTGCGGCCCGACGTGCACGCCGCCTGCCACGCCCACAGCGTCCACGGCAAGGCCTTTTCCGTCTTTGGCCGCGAGCTCGAGATGATCACCCAGGACGCCCTGCGCTTCTACAGGAGCCACGGCGTGTACCGCCACTTTGGCGGCGTGGTCGTCGATGCCGACGAGGGCGCGCGCATCGGGGCCGCCCTGGGGTCCGGCAAGGCCGTCATCCTGCAGAACCACGGCCTGTTGACTGTCGGGCAGAGCGTCGATGAGGCGGCCTTTTGGTTTATGAGCATGGACAGGACCTGTCACGCGCAGCTGCTGGCCGACGCGGCGGCTGCTGGTGGTGGTGGGCATACCAAGAAGCTGATCGACGAGCACGAGTGTGAGCACTCGGCCCAGAGCGTCGGCGGGCCGGAGAAGGGCTGGCTTGCATTTCAGCCGTACTATGATGAGATGCTGGCGAAGACAGGGGGGGACTTTTTGAACTAAGTCTTGATGTGTGTGTATGTATGTGTCTGTCTGTCTGTCTTTCCAATCTCGTTGCATGTATGTGAATAAGCTAGAAATCTTCAAGACGTCTGACGAGCCAGCGCTGTTATCCCTCACAAGATATATGAGATCGAATCAAAATCGGTTCTCCCTCTCTCCTCTTCTCTCTCTCTCTCTCTCTCACACACACCACACACCCACCCAAACACACCATATAATCATTTCTATTATCAATTCCCCTGTGCCTGTTGATTCTGCGCCTGCTGCGACAACGCCATCGTCATCCAGAACTGCTTGTCATTATTGTTTCCACCGCCCGGCCTCTTCTGTACACCACCCGTGCTCCTGATCACGACCCTGATGTAGTCCATCACCGCAAATGACAGCACGACGATCTCATCTAGCTGCTGCTGGGATCGCACCACACCAGCATGAACACTCAGCACCCCAAAGTCCCAGTTCTCCATCTCGAAGCTCGCCACGGTCGGGTACCCGCGCTCAGCCGTGTCGAAGCACCGCACCGCGAACCGGCCCGTGGTCTGCGCCTCAACAGGCTTGATCAGGTGCCACGACATGCCGCTCGTGCCGTTCAACAGGCCCACGTCGCTCTTCCAGAGCTCCGTTGCGGGGGAGAGCGGGTTGTAGTCCCACTTACCCCAGGGGTACTCAAGATGCACCCTTCCGGCTGTGCTGGTCGTGTTCTTGCGGCTGATAGCGGAGCCCGCAAGAACCGCCCCGCGCGGATCTAGGGAGGGGAGAGGCGTGCGCAGGCACTTGAAGCCGTCCGAGGTGTACTCGATCCGGTAGGCCGGGTTGGCCGGGCTGTGGTTGGGGCTCACCAGGGCGTCATGGCCCTTGCCGAGGTCGGCGATGGTGAAGACAATGTGGTTGGGGTCCTGAGGCGGGGAGAAGATGCTGAAAGGGTATGGGCCTGGCTGGGGGGGTCCCGACTGATAGGACTGCTGGTAGGCCTGTTGCTGTTGCTGGCCTTGGTATGCCGGCGGGTTGTCGGATGATTTCTCGTGATGGTGGAAGAAGCCCATTTTGGTAGTGTTTTGATGGGGAGTAAAATTAATCAGCGAGTTCGATGTGATATAGTATGTTTGCTATGACAGGACGAGCTGAGGATAGAGTTGTTGAAAGAAAAAAAAAAAGACAAGAGTTATTGGTTCCTGGCCAGGCGCGTTGTCGTATTTATTTGCGCTGACGCCGGCTGACGGTCCCAACTATTACGGTCACCCAGCAGGCCACCAACATGACTTTGGGGGCGGCGGCACGTATGCCTGCAGGAAGCTGAAAGGGCCTCTTTCCGCGGCCCCGTTACGTCGCATACGACTGATCCTCACTTCTGCATCTCAAATGCAGTTGGCCCCAAGTGGTGGCCGCCGCTTCCTATGAAACCTGAGAGCTGAGGGAGAAAGACCCCAGGCCCACAGCACGACCAGAAGGCCAGCGAGAAATCAAGAGTGGCAAACCTTGCTGGTAGCCATGATGATGATGCTATGAGAAACCGTCATTGAGCAGAACTCAACAAAGGAGATTGAACTCACCAAAAACGATTGTCTTTTATCCAACAGTGACTTTAATTTTCATTGTATGAGAACCTCGGAGGCGGGACTGGAGTATTATGACATGGATTCGTGTAGATAGCTGGAACCCCCAATCTAGCACTGATGGCCCTTGTAAACGTGTCTTCCTAATGTTCGCTACCAAGTAGGTATGCATCAAATATACCTTTGCAATGAGTGTCGCCAGCTCATTTCTGTGGATCGATGCCCACCTGGCATCAATGCATGTGAAACATCACATACATGAAGCATTCGGAATTGTGCTTGGGCTTGCTGAGGAGTCACATGTGGTGGCTGGCAGTGTGAAAATGATTGGGAGGAAGAATAAGGAGTAAACACTCGCAATGTTCACTTGTCGTTTGGGAGGATATGGCTGCAAGTGTGACATGATGGACCAATAGAGCAAAAGAGCAGGTGGGTGGGTGCATCGTGCTAGACGCCACACAGTTCAGAGGCACTTTGGGTCCCGGGTCCACTCAGTGGCTGCCTGCCTATGCCAGCCTCACACCCCATGCGTCACTACGTACCTGGGCTTGCTGTGTTATATATTGTTTACTGTGGTGGGAAAAGAGAAGGTGCAAACTGCGTGCATGCATGCATGCCATGGTACGGCAGTACAGGGTCTGCACTTGTGACTGCTCTATGTAATTGAATCATATTTGGAGGAATGCGGGGGATCCTGCTGTGATGACATTTGCCTCTGTTTTGCCTCTCTTCCAACTACCACAGCTCAACCAGGTCAATCTCTCACACACCGACTTGAAAGAAGAAGAAAAAAACACTGCCACGATCCAAAGCATATCCAACCAGACTATCTCAGTGAACATGGGCATCATTCATGTTGTCATGTTTGCCTTTGAGCCACTGGCCCCGGCTGAAGATGTCCAAGGAGTAAGCCCCCTTCCATCCTTTGTAAGAGCTAGGTTGACAAGGTCAATCAAAGGTGTGTGACAGAATGCTCGCCCTCAAGGACAATTGTGTCCACCCCCAGTCCAAGAAGCCCTATGTGAAGATGGGCATGGGTGGCCGAGACAACAGTACCGAGGGCCACCAGGGAGGCATCACACATGTCTTCATCAGCGAGTTTGAGAATGAGGAGGACCGCCAGTACTACCTAAAGGAGGACCCAGCCCATCTGGCATTTGTCAAGAGTATTTCTGGAATTGTGGCAAAGGCACAGGTGGTGGATTTCACTCCTGGCATCTTCTGAGCACAAGATGGAGACACAGTCTTGCACCCCTCCAGGGTCTGTGTATATGCTATCTTGAGGAACAAGAGGATCAAGAGAAAGAAAAGAAATATGCCAAAATAACAAAAGGAATAATATATGGCGTTGTTACCACGCTGCATAACCCCCTTCTGCTTGAACCCTTGTGTTTGACCCCGCATTTCAGGACTTGGCCCGTGCGGGTTGTTGTCGAAAGGGAAAAAAATACCCATAGCATGGTGAAATCGCTTGGTGAGTACAGCTCAATTGCAGGGGTCCAGGGGTTTACGTCATTTCCCGTGAGTTGCACTTCAGGCAGGCGCAGGTCTCCTAGGCCCCCCAATTTCAGTCTTGAGTCCCTGCCGCTTGCCTGGGCTTGGGCCTGGAAAGCATCTGGGCAGCACCTTCTGTACTGTGCCCAGTGTGTCATGAGCCTATCTGCTGCGATCTGAAAGGAATCTTGAACAGAGGATCCGTCCGCCTGGTTCCCTCCCTCCCTTCTTTCAAAAGAAATCAGAAACGCCTTCTATCATCACACTGCCACCATCTGCCGTCATAGTCACTCGCAATCTGTCCACAGCCTTGCTTGTGTTGCAAGCTATCTATTATCTCGTGTACATCTATCTGATCAATATTGTTGTTGACAGCCCTCTGAAGAACCACACCACCATGTCGCAGCCTCATCCTGTCCTCATCAACCTTCCACAACCCTCTTCCAACCCCGACACCCCCTCAGAGATCCCGTGAGCTGCTCTCCACTTCCTGACTCTTACCCCCTTGATGGCCTTTCCCTTTCAGATGGCCTGGTAATATGAGTTGACTGACCAATTTGTGTCCCATCTGCAGTGGCACCCCCACATCGACAACAACCTCCCTCTCTGCCCTGTCCACAACTGCCATCAAAGATGGCCATCGCGGCCATGCTCTCCCCACTATGGGCAACCGAAGTGGCCACCAACAACATGCCTCCCAGAACAGCCTCGATGCAGAGCGCGCCGATCGCATCTCGCGCCTCGCCGGTCTATCCTCCGTCTCGCAGCTGCGCTCTCCTCCCAACGCCGGCTCGCAGGCTGCTGCCAACATCAACAACAACCAACAGACCACTCCCACCTCTGCTGGTTTCCCACAAAATGCTGCCCAGGCTGTCGCGCCCCACATCCTAGGCGTCCCTGCATACTTTGACTCCAATGGGCAACCCGTCGCGGTGACTAAGATGTCTACCAGCGGCACGGCCTCGGCTACTGAGAGCGTAAGTGCAGTTCCTCCTCCACTCTTCCAGAAGAGCTGAACAGCATGGTGTGGAAGGAGAAGGCTCGCTAACAAAGTGGCTGTATCACCAGGATATCGACATGATGAGCACGGCTACCGACTTCGGCCGCGAGACGGAGGTCGACTCCACCAGCGGCTATGTCGGCACTGCCCACACCGAGCAGACAGATATGGACGTCGACGAGGACAACATGACGAATCGCAGCATGGGCCAGTTTGAGCAGGACGATAATATGAGCGACGATGGCTCCGCCAGCCTGGTCGGCTTCGGCGAGGGCGCGAACTCTACAATCTCCGGTCCCATTTATGTCCGCCGCCCTCTGCCGGGAGGCATGGAGAGACGAAGTTCCGGTTTCAGCGACGGCGCCGCTGTGGCTTCCCGACGAGAACGCACAGAACGTGAGGATACTGCCGCGGTCGTCGAACGGCGAGACGCGCGTATAATCGACGGTGTGTCCTCGGATGGTGCGCACGGCGCTCACGTCGCCGCAGACGACGAGGCTTTTGTCGACACGACCAACAGCGGGCCGGTGCCGGTGACTGGTTCTTTCCAGCCCGGAATCAACAGTGCGCTGCGCGAAACACAGCACGGGGCACACACGAGGCATCATTGGAACCACCAGCAGCCGCCCACCGCTCGGGAGGCTGCAGAGCGGGTCATGAGGGAGCGCGGCCTGGAGTATGGCCAACGCCCTGGCGGTTCTCCTCTGGCGAGCCCCAGCAAAAGGCTGGCCTTTGAGGATCAGAAGTGATGATGAATGGGTGTCCGGCTGGAATACAGACGCTATCGTCTATTTCCTCAGACGTGCCACACAATGATCTCGGAGCGTCCATACCAAACCATATATTCTTAGATTCTGCACTTTATGACCTCCTGTGGGAGACGTACGGTCCTCACCCTCGGGTCGCCTCGTTGCTCACTTGAGGCTCTCTGTATACTTGCTTGATTTTTGTCTTTTCTGACTCACTCTTTTTTAATCCTCTTTTTTTCTTTTCTTCTGTGGGGCCGTTCTTTGTGCTTGGGATCCTTAGGCGTTTGACAATGGTTGGACCTTGCAACTGTATAGGATATTTCGGCGGGATTAGGGGCACGATGAGAATGTAAGATGGATGAGTAGTTCGGTAAGTGAACAAAAAAGGCAACGGTTGTGGATAAGCGATAGGTAGGACTGCGTATGCATGCCTCGCTTCCATTCTTCATGCTCTGGTATTTTGCCAAGTGAAAAGAGTCTTGCTTGATCTGGCTGTCTGACTGTCACCAGAACATGACTCGTCAGGGATAATGTCCTCATTGCGATGCTGCTGCTCACGATGATGAACTATCGACGGCTTCCACAGAGCCGAAGGAGAACCGTGCGCCTTGCAAGGGTCAGCCAGTCTTCTCATCTCAGCAGCTACGGAGGGACGATGACGGGCTCGGTATAGTCTTCAACAAGAGTCGACCACGGATAAAGACCGGAACATGGATCCAAGATCCACCCCATGCGAGCCCAACCGGAAGGGGTCGGGAGAAGCTGTGGGGGAGGCGGAGCTGGTCGTGATCGGTCCTGAATCGAGAGGCGTCAATGAAGCTGACAAATTGCACGGCCTTTGATTGTGGTATTTTCGAAGCATAGAAGTAGGTGGTTGGACCAAAGCCACAGGAGGCTGCCCTTGGCTTCCTCGCCTCGTTGTGAGGGTGCCTCTCAAGCACGGCGTCTCTCTACGGAGCATTCATTGCTCTCGCACGGTAGGCCCAAGTCGTGACAGGGTCAACCCAAAAGAAGTTGTCAAAGTCTTCCGTCCCGTGTCTGCTCTCCTTGGCCCCGCTACAAGTACGCTATGCTAGCTGAACCTGGGAGTTGTCCGCAGCCTCGTTCGATCGAAAGGGGAAAAGGAGGATGAGGGCCAAGCCCAAGGTTTAAGCTAGAATAGATCAAAGAGGGAAAAGGGCGGAATGTGTTGTTCCCAGATTTGGAAGACCACTTCACTACTACTTTGGTACTACCTACTGGCCAGATCCCAAACAGCCTGCTGTTGGAGAGAGACGATGTGAACCAAAAAAAAAAAAACCTGCTTGGGTAAATTATGATCAGCCTCATAGAGAACCAAGAACTCATCGGACGGAAGCCTTCCCGCGCACCAAATCCCAATTCAGGAACAACGTGGCAGGGATTTTTGGCCTTCATACCTCGAATGTGGAACAGCTTAATGGGATGAAATAAGGTTAAGAGCATCGATTCATCCCTTCGCGATCTAACAGATGCTTCCCCGGTCTGTGCATCGGCACTGCGATCGAGAACTGTCATGGAGATCCAGACAGAGGCACACACCTTTGTGAGGGGTTTTTTTCCCTTCTTCTTCTTACTTACCTTTTTTTTTTGCTCTTTATTTTTTCTTTTTGTTCTTCTCTTTCTCCACGCGGTACCCGCCTCGATTCGCTCGTCCCTCGCGGTAGCTCGAGGAACCGATTCATGATCCACCCTTCTAGCAACTTAGTGTCCCAGTGTGCCGTCCGGATTGAGGGACCTGGCCAGATCGCCAAGAGACTCATTGAGTAGAGCGAGTGAGTGAGCGATAGTAAACCTGACTGACTAGGGGGCCGACGCGTCCGGCTAAAAAAGCAGAGAGAGGATGGTGCGTACGTCGTCTGCTGCTGCTGCTGGAGATTGGGCGATCGATGTTGTTCCTGACAGCGGGTTCCCTGAGTGTCACGACACATCAACGACCTCATATCCTGGACGTCATCCCAAGAGCAGTCCTAGCGCCTGGCTGGGAAAAGGCCTTTCGGGGCGTGGCGTGACGCAACCCTCCTGTGGGAAGGCTAAATGTCCTCAAGACGAACAGTCAAGCCTTTCTCATATCTTTGCACGCTAGACGTGGAATCGTTCATATAATTAGGCGCAATGGTCTGCCCATTTCCGTGCGTGTAGGCCCGTCTGCGCAAGTATCAATACCAAACTATACTGTGTTGTATTGATTTGCTCCCACCTTCACACCTGCTTCACGTGTCGGAACGATTCTCGAGGCTGAGAGCCTTTATTTGGAAGATTGTTGACGTTGTTCTACGTGCTTGTGAACGTGGTGTCTAGGCACTTGCGTTTGGATCACGATGAAGTTTGGTCAAATCTTTAGGAACGACAAGAACGAGAAGGGCAACTGGGGTCGTGGTCAGCGCAAGAATGACCCTGGCTCGGCATCGAAGGAGGATGTGTCTCTTGACAAGAGGTGAGAAGTCTTGCTCCCTAAGAATAGTATCACCCAGGGAAACTACGTGGACTTGCTCATGCTCACACACGAAAACCTTGTGCTTGCAACCTACACAGCGACTTCGCCGCCGCACCAGCACCAGAGGTCCCTCTAGACCCAGCTCGCAAGATAGATGCGCACGCAGCAAGGGCAGCAGACGGCAGACGTCTTGATGATCCAGTGTGGCCATCCCGTTTCCTAGGCACGTCGGCCCAGAACGGCCATGACCCAGGCACCAACCACCACCACCACCACCCGCAGTACCAAGGGCACGACCTGTCCGTCCTCCCACCGCTCCAGGCGTCGAATGAGAACGAGGTGCACGCCCGCGGCCTCGCTCCCCTGCCAGAGGGCGATGTCGACCTCGACGGCTTCGACCTTGCGCCGCCGCCGCGGCCCGGCTGGGAGCGGCCCGAGCTGTTCTCGCTGGAGCGGCGGTCGCTGCTGATGTTCTCCAAGGCGCACCTGCGCATCGTGTTTGACGACCTGAAGCTGCTCCGGCGCTTCTCGGCCTTCCTGGTCGACGGGCGGCCCGACCTCGTCCCTTTACTGCTGTACCACCTCGACGTGCGCAAGGCCCTCGCCGCCATCAAGTACACCAACGCCGTGGTGGAGGGGCTGCGGCCCCTGGAGGGGGTTTCCTTTAGCGCCCAGGCGCCGCCGCGGACGGCCAACGAGGAGCTGCGGGCCAAAGCCGAGGAGTCGTTTGAGGCTCTGGCGAACGAGGCGCTGCCGGCTTGGGTCACGTCTGTGTGGCAGCGCGCGGTGGAGGTGAGCATTCGGAGGAGGATTGATGGGGGGTTGCCTTCTAAGCTTTTGGAGTATGTTAATTTCTGTTCCTCTCTTGATATATATGTCTCATCTCTCGTCGAAGTATCTTGTGTGTTGCTGTGCTGACATGAGATGGAAATAGTATGTCAGAGGGTTTGGCAGAGACTTTTTGTCTGGTTGATCCTGCTCGTCACGATCAACCGATTCTCTTTGCTTCAGAAGGTCTGTCAAGTGTTTCCATCGTATTGGGTTTTATTATCTTTTTTCGTCTCGTGAGGAAAGACGTGCTGGTTATTGTAACTCACTGACATATATTCTTTTGCTTGAAAAATAGAATTCAACAAGACCACCCAGTATTCGGTAAGTCATCCTCAAGCTCTGCGGGATTCAACCCTCTTCCTGATTAAAAGGTCAGCTTTTTCGATATCAACAGACGACTAACCAAGGAAATGAATCTAGAATAAATATGCAATCGGGCGGAACTGCCGGTTTCTGCAGGGGCCGCACACAAACCCACACGCCATCCGTCGCATCAGGGAGAAGCTCCAGAGCGCCCAGCAGCACTACGAGCCGCTCCTGAACTACCGCAGAGACGGGTCACCCTTCATGAACCTCCTCATGATGACGCCCCTGCTCGATGCAAACGGTAAAGTGCGATACTTCCTCGGCGCGCAGATTGATACGTCGGGCCTGCTCAACGACTTTTACGGGTTCGAGTACCTGCACAAGTACCTTGACCGAGAAGGCTTCACGTTTATCGAGCAGGACGGCGGCAACAAGAACGGCGCCGGCGGGATGGCGACGTCCTTCGAATCACCGCTGGGCCTGCACGACGCCAAGGACGAGCTGCAGGAGCTGAGCGAGCTGTTCAACCACCACGAGCTGGACGTCATCTGCAAGCACGGCGGGCGGCAGCGCCACCCAGACCTCCTGGAACAGCAGACGTCCAAGTGGAAGAGAAAGGAGCGGCTCGTCCTCTCGCCTGACGGGCACAACGGCATAGAAGAAGAGGCAGAGGACGAGGACCGGGAGGAGGATGATGAAAGAATAAACGGACGGCTCGTGGAGCCCAGCATCCAAGGCGATCTGGCGGCGACACCCTGGGAGGCCGGGTCTGAGGTCCCTGGGATCCGCAGCAGCTGGCTGGCGGGCGGCCGAGGAGCCGGCGCCGAAGTGCCACCACAGCATCATCAGCAGCACCACCAGCAGCCGGGTCCGATCCAGACAGACGAGTTCGACCAGATGCTAGGTGCCTCCTCGTCTACCGCCACCTCCGCCGACTCGTCGCTCCTCGGCGGCCAGGCCCAACTGGGTGGCCAGCTCGGCGGCGTCTACGACCGCTACCTCCTCGTGCGGCCCGCCCCCTACCTTCGCATCGTCTTCGCCTCGCCCTCGCTGCGCATCCCGGGCATGGTCCAGTCCAACCTGATGGACCGCATCGGCGGGTCGCCGCAGATGCGCCAGCAGATCGAGCAGGCCATGGGCCGCGGGCAGAGCGTCACCGCCAAGGTGAAGTGGATCTCGGCGCCGCAGAAGCGAGTCCCACAGCAGCAGCAGCAGCAGGCCAACGGCGGTGGTGGCCTGGGCGTCGGGCGCGCCAGATGGATCCACGCCACGCCTCTGCTGGGGCGGGACGGCGAGGTCGGCGTGTGGATGGTCGTTTTGGCGGATGAGGAGCGCGAGAAGGAGAGGCTGGGCGTGCCGAATGGTGGTGGCGGTTTGTTGTCGGGCACGGCCAGTGGGCGGAGTAGTATGCTGCCGCCGCCGCCAGAGGCCATGTCACCTGGCATGAGGTCGAGCAACGGGAGTGTGCAAGGTGGTGGTGGCATGGATGCCGTCTCGTTGGTCTCGACTGTCGACTTGGACGGGTACAAGGAGAGGGACTCTGCGGTCGAGGGGCTGAGGTCTCCACCGCCTAGTCGGGGCCAGCAGAGGGTTGTGCCTTTGTTTGAGTAGTCTGCTTGGAGGTTTCTCGGGACGAGGTGAGGTTGTGGTCTCGCTTGTACTATCGCTATGTTTGAGTCTGGGCTTGTTATCTTGTGCACTGCAATTAGATATCCTGAATAAACATTAATTGATCATTTTGTAAAACCTGGAGACTTAATCACAAGATTTTCTTTGAGCACGAAGACAATGTTGAGGAGATTTTGGGAGAGGTTTGAATCAATACGTATCTAAAAGGGACACTCTCTCATAGTTGTGAGTCTATTGTTGGAACATCCTGCAGCATCTTTCGAGAAAGTTATGAACCTAAGCACTGCCATGGTCACACTAAAAGGCTGTTCTCGGGACATACGGTGGGGCTTGAACATGCATATATGCGGTCCGTCCAGTATAGACTTGCGACATAGACATCGAATCGACGGCAACCAGTATGGGGTCGAGCCTCCACAGCCTCTTGAGGCCGGTCTGGAATCGCTGTGTGCGCCCATGGATGGGCTCTGCCTCCGTATCGACGTTGAGACTACGATGAATGTCGCTATGTATGTGCTCATCAAGTCACAACTCAAGCAGGGGATCAAGGAGATGGTGGCCAAGATCATCAGAAAGGCCGAGACGAGGGAGTCTATTCCCGAGAGCACGTGGGTAGGAACTTCGGATGATATTATTACGCATCCTGAGGTTCCTGTCGTGGCCCCTCGGACACTTGTCCTGGATCCTCCATCCTACCCACAACTCGTCGAGTGTGGGCCTCGGTCGTGAAGACAACTCTAGTAAGACCCTCCTGCTCATCACCTTTGATCCCGTTGAACCTGGTGTCCAGTATTGCTGGTTTATGCTTTGCTTCTCTTTAAAATTTTATAATATATACATGTACAATTCTCATAAACGGGTGGTGACATTTAGTCTGACATTGGTATTTCAGTATTACCTGAACAAAACTATCCTGAGAATCATTCTCTGGTTACAATCAGCCTGGCCTCTTTAACAAACGACAGAGAAGCGGCGCTCCCATCTCCTACACCTATAGTTGAAAAAAAGCAGCAGAACGTTGTGAGCGGTGGTATGCACACCAAGACAAGTTTAAGAGGATTGAAAACAGCCACTGTCACTATCATTTTTGTATCTCAAAGTTCCAGTGTGGACTGTCTGCAACAAACAACCAATTCTCCCCATCACGTTATCGATATATCAATTACGACCCATTCTTGATCCTCGTGTAACCCTTTCCTACACCCATCGCAAGAAGGTGATTCGTCGTATACAGCGATATGCCCCCTCGTACGCCAACTTGTTAAAGTTTGACAATCGGTAACAATTTGGAACACATATTTCAGCTTATGTACATCGAAGGGGAGTTGTTGCAATATTGAAGGAGTGATACAAGAGATATAACGCTCTTTCATCCTATATATCGTATAATGCGGATGGTACGGCCGAACGTCGATTAGAAGAAGTTTATAAGGTGTGATTCCCGAATAACTCCGATATAGTAGTCGATCGAGACATTGTGGCGTGATGGACATTCAGCAACAGCCGTTCATTGATAACTGAATCTGGAAATATTGTTGGTATCGACTGAGCGGCCCAAAGGCCTAAATATGTGCTGCCATTCTCAATGCTGGCACCACTCTCGTGTTCCTGTTTATTTAACACGAAGCCAGTCACGACTTGCACCGGCTGTGCATTGTTACACGACGTTTGAATCATTGTCGGTATTGATTCATCGGGTAAAGATTCATCTGAGTCGCCTTCTCCCGCGCTGATATCGCTATCGCTCTCTTCGACGTAGAATACGGCCCCAGAAAGGCTACTATCATTTGTGTCTTTATCAAAGACAATCGGAGGGCTCGAGGCATGGCCACAAAGGACGTCGTCACCTTTGAGGGCACTCGAGCTTGAACCCCCAAGTCCAACCCAGGGCGTTTCTTTATCCCACGTAGTGAAAGCACTCTTCTTGGTCTTTTCAAGCTTCGACAGTATCCGCACTCTTTTGAAGCTCCGTACTTCTTCGGAGAGTGAGAGCTCGGACCATTCGTCCATCTTTCGTTTCCGTTTTGGAAAGGGACCAAATGTCGATGATTTGTACTTGAAAGCTGTGCTACCGAATCGGGGGCGCTGGTTCCAGTGCTTGGGAAGATCAGGAATGGTTTGGTCCACTTCAACCACCTCTGTGATACGGCGGTAGATCATGCTGCATTGCGAACTGCATGACACCGTCAGAACACCACAGTTGAGTATACAGTTATGAATTCATAGACCAAAAACAGATACTGACCATCTCACCTCGGTTGAAGAAGCCTTGTCCGAGGTTTCACCACAGTATGGACAGCTGTTGTAGCCTTTGGCAGGATCCACATTTCGACGAAACGTAAGGCTCATGGACACAGACGAGCCGGGACGGAAGGCTATCTCCCATGGTTGATCGAAAGAGATTTCGCGCCTTGTTGCCTGTTCCTGCAGCACAAACTCGCGCCTCGTAATTTTCTCATGCCCCGGAAGGCCTTCGAAACGCACGAGCATAACGGCTTCAAGCGCCTGCCACGACGTGATGAATTGTAGATGAACCGGCGCAATCCTTCCGAGGGCGTCCTCAAGAACAAAAGGCTCCTGTATGAGAGGCCTGTCCAGACAGTTGTTCATGGATGCCTGCATGGACAGAACTGCCCTGTGAGTCGCCAGGCTCACCGTAAACCCGCTGGAGACCATATCTTTGACTGACACCAAAAGGCTTCCAAACCACTCAAATTTGTGCAACACTGATTGGACAATCGAGTCTATGGATGATGAGAGCTGGTGATTCTCTCGTATTTCAGTGCGAAGTGTTTCCAATGTGGCTTTTTGCTCGGCTACGTCGCGGCCGGCTGAGGTGGCTAATGCTTTTTGATTCTCCAAGCCCTTGAGCGAGATAGTGCTGAAGTTGTAATATTAGCATACCGGCGAGCGCCCTGTAATTGTAACCATCTCCAAAAGAGAGAAAAAACTCACATCTGAGCCGTGATCATCATCATATTGATGGCATTGCAGTGACCGGATATCTCGCTGCGAAATTTTGCCATAGTGTCTTTCTGGAAGAGTTGCCATTTAATCTTCATGCCAACGCGGCGCACACTTTTGGCAGAGTGGTGCTCAGATAAAGACGCATCGTAACCTTTCAAGTTCGATTGAAATAAAACCAGTGTCTTGCGGCACTCGCTCACTACTTTCAAGATCTCGTCGCAAAGTGATGCCGTGATTGACGAGTCCGCCAAGGATTTGGTGAAGAGTTCTGCGGGCTGTAGTAGAGCCTTTTCTAGGGACCGAAGCTCGCTGATCAGCCCTTGATACTCAGCTGAGGATCCCCGAGACTTATCGAGTGTATCGACGATCGACTTGACGAGTAGGCAAACGGTGATGATATCACCAACAGAGCCGAAGGTAACGGAAGACATGTTGGAAGTTGGACATTTGTAACCTCTCTTATTTTCTCACCATGAAGTCTGGTTGCATCATGGAAAGCATGACAGAAGGTGGGACTGATGATCTTGGGGAAGAGAAGCAGTATAAACACATGCAGTGTTGGGGAGCTCATAAAATGGTCGCCCATTACCCCAACTGGCACGATCGGAGGACAATACCACAGCTGCATGCACTGCCATGCAAGCCCTGCCAGTTTTAAGGCTTTCCCACCTTGCAGACGCATTAGCTAGCAAATGAGGCTAGAACTGGAAAAAGAGCTACACTGCCACAGCTGCATGCACTGTCATGCAGGCACTGCCAGCTTTAGAGCTTTTCCGCCTTGCAGACACATTGGCTAGCAAGTGAGGCAGAACTGCAAAACAATCACACTGAGCATTAATTACCGCACGGGCGATTACATAGATGTCCAAAACTTAAAAGTACATCTTGCAACAGATCATACAGATGTTTCATAGTAACTGGACAGGTAAGTAAGAAAATGATTTCAAAGAGCAAATAAATAATCAGTTCCGCACTGCACAGAATCTCTATTGATTATAGCTTGATAGAACACGCCTATTCATTTATCTACCTACTTATCATTCACCTGTTCGCTCACCCGCTACCATGACAAATATAAATAACTATACACCACCGCTGTGAAAGCTATATAGATATGAGTAAAATTAAAAGAATGCTCAGGGAGGGTTGAGGCACTTTTCTAAGAAGGCAGTGATGAGGGACCACGGAAGGTCTCATCAGGTGTCCACGCAGGGTATTCCTCCTTGAGTATTGGCAGACAGTCCGCTTGCCTGGATCAGACGCTTCATGTGTACTCAGGTACATATTTACCTAGCGTGAATAGAAACATTTTTTACTATCGTTAAGTTAAGCTTTTGTATATTGACATGGTTGCTAATATATGCTCTAAACGATATAATATAATTTCAAACCTATAGTACTATGATCGTAGTTTAGTAGTGTCATTCAAATCTAAGAGATTGGTAACTAAAGCGGCACGTCTTAGTTGTGAGTGTGATCACTTTAAGTAAATACACAAACAAGACGCTTCTCTGTCCAAATATTAAAGTACGGGAAAAGCGATCATCATACTCTCTTCACTGGTCCATTCTCGAAGGTCCCTTCAGAAAACGACCAACAAGTCACGGTTGTCGCCGGCTGCGGCCGCAATCATGAACTCCTCCCCTATTTAGCCTGGCGTTTACTGCAACATTATCGGGACGTTACATCTAGATTGCCACAGCACATGGATCGACAATGCGGTCTGCCTACTTATCTCCAAACCGGCTCGCAGGGGGGGGGATCTCATCCCACCCACCCTTTATCGTACTGCTTACATACATACATGCACGCATACATACTGGCAAGAGACGAGACTCTCAGACTCTGTTTGGCTATGCTTGACTACTAAGGAGGGGCTTGTTTACTGTTCAGTGTGACTGACCTCATTCTCCCCTTCATCTTCTTCCCATCATTTCTCTCCGCCGTTGGGGAAGAAGCATCGTCAATTGATCACGATGCTTCGAAAGTCGCCCACGGGCACGTGGCTGCCCGCAAGGGTTCCAGAGTCGACGGTGACGCTCTCTGTCCTTCTCATGTTGTGCTCTATCGTCCAGTCTTCGGTATGTAAATCACTGTTACAATGTATATGCTTCTCTGCCTCCTATCTTGGCATTCTCAAATGCCACTCACTCACTCACTCACTCCCTCCTGCTACTATAGACTGGCGGTTATGACGGGTCCATGCTCAACGGCCTCAACATCCTCCCATCCTACGCAGACTACTTCAACCTCAACGCCGCCACCACAGGCCTCAACACAGCCTCCGTCTTCATCGGCGGCGTCTTGGGCCCCTTGGTATCAGGCGTCGTCTCGGACCGCCTCGGCCGCCGCCCCACCATCTTCTGGGGCTCGCTCATCACCATCCTGGGCGTCATCCTGCAGACCGCCGCGCAGGACATCGCCATGTTCGTCGTGGCGCGCATCCTGCTGGGCTTCGGGTGGGCTGTGTCGGGCATCGCCGCGGGCGTCTACCTCTCCGAGACCTTCCCCAGCAGGTGGCGCGCCTGGGGGGTCGGGCTGCTCAACGACTTCTACTACGTCGGCGCGCTCATCGCCGCGGGCATCACGCTGGGCACCGGCACATGGCAGTCGACATGGGCCTGGCGCGCCCCCAGCCTGTTCCAGGGCGTCTTCTCGGTGCTGTGCATCGTCGTGCTGCCCTTTATCCCAGAGTCGCCGCGGTGGCTCGCCTACCAGGGCCACTTCACCGCCGCCCGCACTGTGGTCGCCCAGACAAATGCCGACGGCGACGAGGCCGACCCGGTTGTGCTGACTGTGTACAAGGAGATCATCGACACCCTTGCCTGGGAGAAGAAGGAGGGCCGCACCATGAGCCCGACAGAGATTTGGAAGACCCCTTCTGCGCGGAAGAGGTTGTTGATAGGAATGAGCCCGGGGCCGTTCTCTTGTATTGCTGGGAATATTATTGCCAGTTATTACTTGAGCACCGAGCTAGACACGGCGGGAATTACAGATACGCTGCAGCAGCTCAAGGCGGTGAGTGAGACAAACAGACCTTGTTCTCTGTCGTTCCCTTTCTCGCCCACTTGATTGGAGAGACGAAGCACAAAATTTGAGCTGACTATCAAACCCTCTACCGAAAAAAAAAAAAAAAAAAGAACGTCGTCCTCAATGTCTGGTGTCTGGCATGCTGTCTGGCCGGCACCCACCTGGCCGCCAGATGGGGCCGAAAACCCACCGCCCTCGTCTCGCAGGGTCTTCTCATCGCCTGCCTGTTCATCATCGGCGGGCTGTCCAAGATCTACGCCGACAACCCGGACGGTGCCACCCAGGCCCTCATCTACGGGGATGTGGCCGTCATGTTCCTGTTCCAGGGGTTCTACTCGATCGCGTGGACGCCCTTGCTGTATCTCTATCCTCCCGAGGTTTTCAACTACTCTATTCGGGCGAACGGCGTGGCAGTCTCGCAGCTTGCTCTGAACGGTCTTGCGTGAGTTTCTCTCAGAGAAAACCCCCCTTGATGAGAGAGCTGAAATTAGCTTTTGTATTACGAAGTTTGGAACTGACTATAACCTATTTAATTCTATTAGACTCATGTTGGTGTTTCTCATGAACATTGCCTTGGTAAACCTTGGGTGGAAAATGTACATCATCAACGCCGCATGGGACATCATCATCTTTGTTCTGATCGTAAGTAACCAAGCCAGTACCGCCTGGATTCTGAAATTGCCAGCTGGTAGTGATAGTGGGACAAGAAAGGTGTGAATCTTTTGAAATAGTTTACTAACAGGTATGGCGTAGGCGGTCTACTGGGTCGAGACAAAAGGCAAGACGCTAGAGGAGGTCGATGCCATCTTCGAGGGGGCTAAGCACTCTTCTGTGCCGGATGTCGAGGCTGTCCGCCAGGGAGAGAAGACGGTGGCTGTGGAGGCCGTGGACAAGGACATTCATGCTTGAAATGATTGTTGGGAAGAGCATCATTCGTCACGGTCATGATCATATTTATTGATGTCAATCAGTCACCATGAATAATGGATGGTGTTTCATCGGCCTCGTGCTCATAATATTTGGTAGACTGACATGTCCACGCTTGAAAGTTGATTCTCAGTCTTACTTGATCATATGAAGAAGTATCTCGTTATTCATACAGCCTAAGCTGGCCTTGTTATCGGCAATTGTGTCATAACCATAACTATTTACGAATACCCCCCATCTTGCGTTTTGGGTTTGCTGGTGGGGTTTTTCTTTCTTTCGAAAAAAATTTGAAGCAGAGTAATGAGTTCTTATGTTCCCTCTTTTCAATCACAGCTGCTCGACCACAAAGGCCGCAGCCGCCGTCGCATTCTCGGCGTACGTCAGGTGCGGAAGCAGGATCAGATCCCCAAAATCGCAGATATCATCACCCTCATGGCAGATAATGAGGACCTTGCTTGAGTCGATGTTGGCCACGGCAGTATCGCTATCTAAGAGAGAAAGTTAGCGAGAGAAGAAGACTATCGGACTTGAGCGGTAGGAGGGGGCCAGAAACTACATACCTGGGTCGCCAAAGGTGACAACAGCGCTGACCTTCTCCATAGTCGCGGCAGCCAGATCAGAGGCGGCGAGGTGGACAACCTGGGCGCCCTGCGAGTATCCACTCATGACGACCTGAGTGTCTGGGCATTGAGTGAACGCTTGGGTCACAAGGGTAGCCCTGTGTAATTAAAGCAGCATCATCAGCATCACCAGCCTCAAACAGCATTCCGGCAAGTCGGCCAGGAAGGTGTTATCGATTTGGTAACTCACATGTCTGACGCCGCGGTGGTGCTGCCACCCTCGAGATACTGAGTGACAGAGGCATCATAGTCGTTGACACCCTGAAAGATGGACGTGGTGCTTCCCAGGGCGGACTGCAGTGCCGAATAGAACTCCGGGCCAACCAGGGCGCCCACATTGCCCGGCTCGTCAGTGCCGCGGGCGAAGATAAGGGTGACATCGGCGCATTCGCCATCGGTCAGGTCATTATAGGTGGTCGAGTAGCCCAGGGCGAGGGCCAATGCCTCATCGCCAGCTTCGATGAGGCCCTGTGCGTCTTCGAGGGTGACGTCGACAGGGAAGAGCTCGGTGATGAGGGCGAGGATCTCGTTGATGTCCAGGCGGGGCACCAGTGACAGAGCCCTAGAAGCGTAGGATGAAGGGATGGCCCAGGCTGAGGCCTGAGTGCTCAGGGCCAGAGCCAGGGAGAGGACATTAGTCAAGGACTTCATTTTGGGCTTTGTGGAAAAAGAGGAGGCTGCAACAAGGAGTCGAGGTGTGACTGTGAGAGCGTGTGAATGGGTGCAAAAAAGGATAGGAAGGAGATGGTCGTCTCCCAGCGACGTGAGCCTCGCGTGAACGATCCGGGAATCCTGCAGGATGTTGACGAGGATGAGGATGAGGACGAGGGCATCGTGAGAACCACAAGTGACAAACGTGTGGTGGGCGTAGCTCGAGTATTTATCTCCCAACGATGGGCAACACATACAAACTTACCTACACCGACCTGTGCATGTCTCTCCTCCCTCTTCTTACCCTCCTGGCTTTCGGTAGCTAGCCCTCAGCCCCACCACACTCGTGGGGCCAGAGAGAGAAAATAAATTTCCCTCGTGCTTGAAGATCATTGAGGCACCCTTCCAATGCCCCTCCATCGACGATGTATATTACCCCTTTCCCCCACACGAGGATGCGGGTCCATGCGGGCCGAGTGAAGGGGTTCAGGGTCAAAATCCTGTCTCCATCATGTTTGTGTGTGTGTGTGTGTGTGTGTGTGTGTGGTTGAGCCAGCAGTAAAAGTCCGCCGTGGTCTCGTGGCCCCCCTTCTGCTTACTCCTCCTTCAGATGTCTAGATCAAAAGCCAAAGCACCGAGGTAGAAGGGAAGAGGAGCTGCTCTCTGGTGACAGGGGAGGCCCAACTTTTTTCTCATGGGGCCTCATCTTGTGTTTCCTACTGCTAGTAAGTTTAGGGGGTTTTTCTGTGCTGCTAAGCGCCGTTGGAGTGTGGTCTATCACTCTCCCCGTGTCCCCTCCTTTCCATAGCGGGCTGCCATTGGGGGTGACAAGGTGTCTTGTCCTTGTCAGGATGAACGCCTCAAGGGGGGTTCCTCGAATACGATTGGTCAGAAGTGGAAGAGGAGAAAAGGGAGAAGGGGGATCGCCCTCACTACTACCCTACCACCCCTCTGGTGCCGAGTTACTGATCAGGCCTACACGTGAATATCGTAGCATGCAGTGAGAATGGCAGTGTCTCGAAAGAGGCCCCGGCATCAAGCATCGAATGCGATTCGTACAATCCAAAGTGACCACGTCTTCAGCGTGTCGGTCACATCTTCGGCCCAATCAGGGTTTCCCCAGGCTGGCAGGTTACCCGGGGTCAGCTGGAGTGAAAGAAAGGAGGGGGAGCGGGCGGGATGACAGGTCACTTGCCGAAGCGGGAGGGGGCAGGGCAAAATCGAAGGAGATCTGAACGACACGAACGGCTCTTGGATGCTATGTTAGGCATCGTTAGCATGAATGCTCCACATCCAATGCCACTAACTTTTCTTCTCCTCGCGCGTCTTTACCCTTTTCACATGTCAAATTATGGGTCTCCCCAGAATGCACTCGGTGAGATGCAACATACCCCATGGGGAAGACAATATTAGTACAGCATCGCTTATCTGCGAGGACAAAATGGCGTTTAACCTGTTCAATGCACGCGACGTGCGTACGTACATATACCATAGTACACATTTTCGACCTTTCCTGCAATGGTAATCGATATCCGGGTCGTGGGTGGAGACGCACCTATTTCTCTCTTCCTCTCTGGTCTACAGATGCAGACAAGTTGTCGACAAGGCATGAAAATCATTTCATTTCAGCGGCCTAAAATTTCTCCGCGCACGTGGTGTATGTTTCGGAACAATAGCCCTTCCCTATGCCTGCCTACCTATTCGTTCGTACCCCTGCCTATGTGAGCAGAGGGAACTCAGTAAATGGTCATACCAAACGTGTCTGAGACTTGCTCTGTCAGTATGGCCGACTTACGAGGACGGGCGGGCACAGAATCAGCTGTGGAGCTGTCAGCCTCTCGGAGGGGCGACGAGAGAGAGACAGAAGACCTGAGAGCTGGCGGGGGGGGGGGGGATCAATCTCACGTAAGATTTTCTGTCCAGGTGATAGTCGAGATAATTGTTTCAGGACTTGGATCTCTTTACTATTGCTTTCAACGGGACCGATAAAGGCCTGCCAAGGCTGCCAAGAAGGTAAGATTGATTGAGTTCATACATGAGTCGATCTGGAGATGAAGAATGGAAGTTTGGTGGCATTTTCAGCAAAAGAAGCCAGCATCTTCTCGTGGCATGGCGTAACAAAGCCCACTTGCAGAAGCCCTTCGTTGCTTGGAGTGTAATATATGAGGAAAGATGTCGAGAATATCAAGAGCCACTTGAGTCTACCAACATCAATGATGACGACTTGAGACCATGTGCGCAGGTAGACCAACAGGCATCATGAAGATTGGTACGAGATAATGGACAGTGAAGATGGCAAATGGCCAGCGTCACCCACAATTTAGCAACACGAAAACTCTTTCCTCCTCTTAAGCCTTATAATGCCTTGGGCAGCTCTTGCCTCGCCTTCATCCCCCAAGCGCGGAACCTGGGTTGCTCGCTCCTGCCCAGGATCCTTAGACAAGACAGCAGTATGATGAATTGGAGTTGATGGCTTTTGTTAGACTCTCGCCTTGGGCGGAAATTTAGATCTCGGACGGTGAAGAGACGCCGGCAATCTCAGCTCTGCCAATATGCAACTTAGGAGATCTCCTTACTCACATCTATTGACGCAGCCCGACACAGACAGACAGACAGACCAACATACAATCTCTGTCTTGCCAACGCGATAACACTGCCCCATCTCATCCTCTCTCCTCCACGAGCGAGCAAACAAAACAACTCACCTCAATCCTCGGCCAGCCGCTACCCTTCAAACCCACACCCAATGCCCATATCTGCCCTAGTCGGCATCACCGCCGGCGGCACCGCCATCATTGTCATTTTAATCATCATGCTCTGCAGCATCCGCGCCTGGAGCGTCGTGGACGGCCTGTACAGACGGCGCATCATATAAACCAAGCACCATACACCCCCACCTCTGCTGAGCACGCATAGTATGGGTGGTCACTCTATATTCTGCTTTGCTTTCACTATGCTGGTTAACATCCAGCCTGATTTTGCACGAGCATGCATACGAGCGGGCCCAGGGAGAAAGGATGGTGGCGGCGGCGGCAATTGCAACCCAAACGGGGACAAGGCAGCTCGTGAGAGGACCGCACTGGTTGATGGTCTGCTTTGTTGCACAATTTGATAGCCTGGCTGTCTTGGTCATGGTCTGAACTTTGGGGGGGGGGGGGGTATTCTTTTTAACACACAATGACACGGGCGCTTACGATACATCTGGGTATCGCTGGGTATAAAGTACATGCAACACATGTAACGAATGCTCTCGAGACGGGCACAACAGCTGTGGGCAAGGCTTTGGATTGAATGTCAGGCACGTCGAGTGGGTGACAGGCAGTGCATGCACAAGACTGGCTTTAGAAGAGATAAGACGGACGCAGGCGGGACGCAGACGGAATACGTGCCTTGGCCTATTCAGACAGGGCCAAATTATCATGTTACACGGCCTTCAGATCTTTATAACTGTACAGTAGTGTTATCTGCTCAATGCTATCATGCCTCCCAAGGTTCAAATGTGCCTTACCCGCTCACATGCCTGTATTACCAACCGCCCGAAACCGAACGCCATGTGACAGCGATCACGAAAGGGTAGTACTGTATCCATACCCCGTGCTAGGATATGAATCTCGGTATCCCGCAACTATCGACAAGGATCTTGCCCTTAAGGATTTCCTGGCTATTCCCATAGAAGACTACACGACCAACGACCAGTAAGAATTGGACTGGCGTGAACACGACCAGGCTGTTTGACTCACTCCGAGTCCGAATCAACAGCAACACTCGCCGACCTCATACCCCTGGCCGGAGCATTCCCATTGACCTCGGCAGACGCCTTGGCTCTGGCCTTGTCGAGAGCCTTCTTAGCTTCCTCGCCCTTGAGATGGTTGGGAATCCTAATCCTCACGTCAGCGCCAGATCCCTCATCGCTATCGTCGATTCTGAGGATCTCGCCCGAGACCTTGTGAGTCTGCCGGCTGCTGGCACGACTGCTGGCACGACTGCTGGCACTGCTGGACCGCCTCTGTCTCTCACGAATTGCACGCGGGTCATCAGAGGGCTTCTTCCAGGTGCGGCTTCCACTGGAGCCGCGGACAAGTTTCTCCTCCACTTGCTCGTCGGCCTGGTTGTCGCCGAGACGCCGGAACGCACGATGAGAGGCGTAGTAGTTGAGGAGGTGCCGCGCATTCGTCTCGAGATCTTGTTTGTCATAGTCGGGACACGAGTTCCGTAGGCGGTACCAGGCGAGCTTGAGGCTGGGCCGGTGCCATTTGTTTCGAAAGCGCTCATCCACGAGCCCAGACCAGCGTATGTGAGCATCATCGCGCGCACCGCTTTCGTAGATGGCTTCAACCAGGCGGAGCAGTTCCTCCTCGCTCATGCCGCGGAAGTCCTCACGCGCATTGGCGAGCTTTTCGCTAATGCCGTTAGCCAGATTGCTGCTGCCGCCGCCCCCGTCGCCGCCTCCGCTAGGACTGCTACGGGGCTGATTGGGCTGGACGATGCTGACATCTCCAACGAAGCCCTTCTCGCGCATGTCAATCCATTTCCACCTGCACTGCCGAGCAGAGCGGGTTAAGTTCATGGCCGCGCTGATTTGCTGCCAGTCGAGTAAGGCATCGTCCGTGGTACCATTGCCACGGGGACGGGGTCGGAAGTCGTCGTTGTTCTCCCGCATGATGCGGATTTTGCCAAGGGCTTCCACGACGACGTCTGTGAAGCGTACTTCTTCCTCTTCGCTCCAGCGGGATTTAACCTGGTTCTCGTGGACAACGTAGTGGTTTCGCCAATAGTCGCGAATGTCCTTCTGATCGCGGTTCACCATGCCGGCGATTTGAGCCCACTTTTTAGGGTATTGCTCAAACAGCTCGTGGAGCTCCTCCTTCTCTTCCTCCGTCCACCTCCCGCGACCGCTGAAATTATTATACAGGCGCCGTGCCCGCTCGACAATCTGCTTTCTGGTCCGTCGCGGTATGGCGAGGTCTACCTGGTTCCAGAAGCTTTGATTGAGATCATCCGTCTTCTTTGGCACTTCATGTATGAGCTGATTCATATCGTGCTGTTCCATGCCATGGGCATCACGAAATCCATCCACCACCCTGCCAAGAGCACTGAGCTCATCCTCTTGCCAAGGCCCAGTAGCCTTGTCCTTTATGGAGGGAGCCCGCTTTCGCTGCTGACCGCCTTCATCATCGCTGAGATTCAGATTGCGGGCTTTCTTGCGTGACTTGGATGGGCCTGCAGCCAGAAGACTCTCCAGCTCATCATCCTCGGACGCGTCTGTAGTACGACGCCTCTTTTTTGTCTTGCGAGCTTTCGGCGCCGGGCTTGCTTCTTGCGAGACACCGACCTCGCTCTGCTCGGGATCATTGCTACCGCCTTTCGATACATCATTGGCCTTTGCCTGCTGAGAGAAGGTAGACAGCCTGGACTGGCCCTCTGTTGCATCTTCATCGCCTTCAATTTGAGATAGGGACAGTGCTAGAGACGTTTTGCCTTGAAGATTTCTCTTCTTTCTTCCTTTTGGCTGCGGGTGTGGCTGGCTGGCTGACTCCTCGGGTCCGACACTATCATTACGGGGAGCCGTGGAAACGTTAGGCGTGTTGTGACCAGCGGGCGGTTCCCCGTGCTTGTTTGTGGCCGCCGTCCCAACTTGCGGGAACGGGAGCTTCTGTTGCCGAAGAGTGTGTCTCGTGGTTATTTTCTTGGGTGAACTCGCGATACCTACACTCTCAGCCATGTGTCCTGGTGCTGATGCTGCATCCCCGGAACAGTCGGCCAGCTCTGGTTCCTCATTGTCCGATGCCACAGATGGTTTCGCCTTGCGTTTCGGGGTCTTCCCCAGCTGACTGGCAGACATTATGGGCTCAGTCGCATCCTCAACATGCGGCATATCTTCTATAGGAAGCTCGTCATCTGACACACCATTCTGTTCCAGCTTTGCAGCCGTGATTGACTGAGGAGCCTCCGCAGAACCTGACATTCGATCTGGTATGAGATGTGCATTATCACCATTGGGAAGCGCAAAGTCGCTTGCACGTCGCAATCTCTGCCGTCTCGACTTTTCTGGATGGTCAGACCCATTCCTATCCGCTCCATGAACATTTTCTGCGGGTTCTTGGATCTCCGCAGTCTCAACTGGTTGGGATGCTTTATTTCTGCCCACATTGGCCCTTTGAGCTCGCCTTTTGGGCGGACTGTCATTGCTCTTAGGCGGAGATGGCTCGGCTGCCATTGCCTCATCATCCCCCTCAACATCGCCACTGCGAGACCTACTGGATCTCGACGAATATTTCAACCCTGAGGGGGATGAGGTTGGTGACCGATGTGTAGGGATGTCTTCGAGCCGAGCAGGAATACTGGTGTTAGAGCCGATCGAGGAAGGACTGGATGTGGAGTCTGATCCCTTCGAGGATGGCCTGAAAGGTTGGCGTGTGTCGGGAAAGAGGCCGAGCTGCGACACATGGTCAATGCAAGTCTCGCAAGATCGCCCTTGCGCGTGACTCACCTGCTTATCAGCCAGCGCACCGGATAGCGATACCGACGCGACGGATCGTGATCTCGACCTTGACAGCCTGTCCAGTCTTGCGACACTCGGGGAGTCGGTGTCAGAATCAGGACTCGAGTCAGTATTCACACCAGAGTCGGTGCTGCTGTCAAACTCGCGTTCCAGCTTGACCTGGCTTTGCTGGATTTCAGGAAAGGTCTCGTCCACCTCCATTTTGTGGTCGCTGCTGCTTCCGTCTGTACTAGGCGTGTCCTCTGCAGCCTGCCTCTTGCGCTTGTGAAGCCATGTGAGACCTGAAGTTGGGTCATTTTCGTCGCGCAGTGTCTCAGCTGCTGGGTCCTTGACAGCATCTGCGGAGCTGCCGGCCGCTATACCGGCAAAGCCAAACCGTGGGTGCCCGTCATCACCGACATCTGGGTCTTGGAGCTTGATTCGTTGAGAATTGGCCTGGCCTGATCCGCTTCTCTGGGTCTTGTGAGACTGGTTTGAAGGGATGATGGCGTCTTCTCCTGCTTCGCCCTCCGACACTGGCTCGTAACGAAGAATATGATAGAGCTCTTGATCAGGCTGTTGGGCAGATGGCGGTGAGCTTCCGTCGGTATAGGGCAGGAGGACCTGGCGAGCATCAGGGCTTTGGACAGCGTCGCGCTGTTTGTTCTTCGGCCGCATTTTCTTTTTCAGAGGGGGGGTTTGCACGATTTCAGGTGCAGGCTGCAGTGTTCCAACGCGTGCTGGGTCTTGGCTGTGCAGTCCATCCATTGGATGAAGCTCGTCTTCTCTGTAAGAGCCAGGGTCGCCATTGATCAGGCTGTCCTCGTGTATGCTATTCTGCGGTTCGTGTTCACCGTTGTTGCTTGGCGCGGCCTTCTTTTTCCGCTTTCTCGGCTTCCGCTTGGGCGATTGCAGCTCCTCATGGCGCTCATGGGGCTGCCAATCCTCGACAACTGCATCACGGCCTTCGTCTTGCTCAGCCTGGGCCTGAACTTCGGCCTGCTTCCTCCGCACCTTCTTCTTCTTCCGCTTATTTCCGCCGTCCTCCGCCTCTTCGTGAGCTGCATCTGCCTCTGACGACGGGAGATCACTGTCCACCCCCTTTGGTCGCCTCTTCTTGTTCTTCTTGCCAGGCGACCTCGACGAGGAAATAGGATCTGGTCGGTTCGTCTCGTCGTCTGTCGTGAGTGGTGACATGGGAGGACCAAAGACGCGGCCCGTCTCGCTGCCGTTGCCGGAGGTCGTGGAAGGCATTGGGGGCCCAAACACCTTGCCGCCGCGGTTGGTTGAGTGGATGTGACCCTCGGCCGCAGGCTGTCTGGACTGGGAGCCCACGGTGGATGGCAGACCGTACCAATGCCTAGTCGCTAGTCCATCGCCTCGAGCGCCAGATCACGCAATGGAGCTGAGGAATATGACCGACTGGAGGGTGTTGCAGTTCCGAAGGCAGTGTGTTGTGTTGGTTGTGTCTTGCGATCCTCAAGAAACGAGAGGCTGGTGTAAACTTAGTCTGAAGTCAATGTCAAGGGGCAATGTCGAAATGCAAAAGCAACGCGTGACAATGCGACCCTTCCAAACCAAAGGGGAAAAAAAGTTTCACACTAAGATGCTCAGGTACTCTTTTTCCCTACCCCGCAAGTAGCTGGGGTCGGCGCCCGGCCCCTGGCATTAGAGCCACTATAAAGTTGTCGAGGGCAGCTCCTCCACATGTATTTTTGTAAATTGGAAGACATCATTCGAGCCGCATCTCAAAACTGTGATAGTGAATAAAAAGGAAACTGTGGGAGCAATCAGACATATTGTCATAAACGTAGCTTTGGCCATGGAGAAGAAGAGACAATGGCGCAATTGCAGTGACTGAACAAGCAGTAGATGGCTTTGCCAAGGATTAAGAATCAATGTGCAGGCTGACAGCAGCTGGATGGGGGACGGCCCAAGCTCCTAACTCCTGTAGTATCCCTGTCAACCCTTGTTACCTATGGTGCCCCCGTAGTAGAGCTTGAACAAACACTCTACATATCTTGGTACATTGATCATCTCAAGTCATAAATACACTCGGTCTACCTTTCTCAAGAAACTCAAAAATACAGCATCTCACACCTACTCAAGGACAAGCACTAGAACTCGGTCTGTGGATTCCCAACCAGGGATTTAACTAAGCGCGGGGGGAACGGTAGGAGCGACTATGACTCAACCTCGAGAGGGTCGTCAGATCCAAGAGTCTGATCCTGGGTCGGAAAGGCCTGGGAAGTTTCGAGACATGATTATCGATACAGAAATGCTCTCAAGGTAGCCAAATGCCTCGTTAATCTAATTAGTGAGGCGCATGGATGCATTAACGAGAATCCCAATATCCCTATCTACTATTTAGCGAGCCCACGGTCAAAGGAAGGCAACGGGCTTGGCAGAAACAGCGGTGATAGAAGACCTTGTTGGCTGAGCTTGACTCCAGTTTGTCGTTGGGAAAATCAAAGACATATAATAGGGGGTGTAGACTAAAAACTTAGCAACTCAGGCACTGACTGGTGCAGTCTAACGATCTTTCAATGCCCACTGACCGACCATATGCTAAAATTAGTATATACAGTACCAAAACCATACCCGTAGTATCCTGGCCAGTGACCTCATGACATTGATCGAACCTTTTTGATTCACAGCAACGCAGGCGATACACCGTCCACCATCTGATATCCCCACCACCAAAAAAGACCGGCTGAGCTATGCCATGCACAGCTAGACGTTTGATATTCCGATCAACGGTGCCAAAGACTAACAGTTCATCACTACAAGACGTCATGGCCCTTTACGCGGTCTCACGCGTCATGAGAGAAGTCCCATCTCTTAAAGTAATCTCGTCATGGAGGAAGCAGGAGACTGATGTCGGTGATCAACAGCTACAACTCAACCCCCTTGGTGGCTATCATTCAGCAAGGCATACTTATTTACATACTTACCTATGCATCTCCTGTTGCACGTCCGTATTTCTTCTTTCCATCAAAATAGTACCCTGCGAGCAATATCATTATTACAACACACTGCAAGACCTCAACACAGGTATTTTAACCACGCCCAGATGACCAGCATGCCGTCCAAGGACAAGTATTCGGACCCCAAGCTTCGCGACCAAGTCAAAGAGCAGCTCAAGCAGGGCGACAAGGGCGGTGAGCCAGGACAATGGAGCGCGAGGAAGGTGAGTCTATCTCCTTCTCCTCAGCGCTGTTGCGTTTCTTCAAGCGTGAAACCAATTTCTTATCACAGGCACAAATGATGGCCAAGGAGTACAAAAAACGAGGCGGCGACTACAACACCCCCAAAGACTCCAAAGACGAGTCCCAGGAGAACCTCAAGAAGTGGGGCGACGAGGAGTGGCAGACAAAAGACGGATCTGGTCAGGCCAAGAAGGAAGACGGCAGCCGGAAGCGCTACCTGCCCAAGAAGGCGTGGGAGGAGATGAGCGAGAAGGAGAAGGAGCAGACGGACAAAAGGAAACAGGAGGAAGGAAAAAATAGGCAGTTTGTCTTGAATACTGCCAAGGCCAAGGAGGCGCGAAAGAGTGCCGGGAAGAAGGTTGGGGAGGAGTGTAAGAGTAAGGAAGAGGATAGCCAGGAAGAGGAGGCTCAAGAGGGGGGAAGAGGACGAGGAACAAGGTGGAAAGGGGGGAAAACAGAAGATGTCACCACCAGTTACTAAGAAGCGTGGTCGCAAGGCCAAAGACGACGGTGACAAGGACCAGAACAAGAAACCAAAAATCGACTCGAACAAGTCAGATGAAAACAACAGCACGATCGGGTCGAAGCACGACAAGGCGGATGCACCTGCACAGCAAGGCTCCAAGGACAGGCTCCCCAAGAAGGGGCAGAAGAATGTCCACTGGAAGGCCATGCCGGGCTGGGTGGAGGGCGAGGTGGTCGAGATTGCCAGGACGACCAAGTCGGTGGATGGCAAGCAGGTCAAGGCCTCGAAGGATGATCCCAAGGTTGTGCTCAAGTCTAAGAGCGGCAAGATTTGTGTTCACAAGCCCGACAATGTGTATTTTGACTAGTTAAGCACATTTGGTGGTGATCAACTCAAGGTGATTTCACAATCAACCTTGTTACATATCAACTGTGGACTTTAAAACTACCATGCTCCGCCAGGTTTGCTATGAACCCCCCCAGAGCTAATGCAGATGAGGGTAATTATAGTTACTTCCCCTGGTGATCGTTTAGTACGTTATCACCAATGAGGTAGGGCGCAAGTCGAGGCGCCGCCGCCATGCATGTTTGCACATGCACCTTGGCATGCTGACACCCTTGTGATCCTGATCTCGTCTTGGTGCCAATTCATTCATTGCATTACATATTTCCTATTTTTCATTCATACTACACATTCTATTCTACCGTTTCTTCACGAAAACTGGATTGTGAGATCACCCAAGTGAGCCTGCCTCTCGAGTAGGACCCCTTTTCTTGACCATGCTCTTCTCTTGCCCCTCCCTCTCCTTGGCCGCAGCCGTCCTGCTCCTCCTTGGACCCGCACGCGCAGAAGGATCCTACGACTACATCATCATCGGCGGCGGGACATCCGGGCTCCTCCTAGCAACCCTGCTCTCCACCAATCCCAACACCACTATCGCCGTCCTTGAATCCGGCCCTGACGCCCGTACAGACCCTCGCATCACCATTCCCGAGAATGAAGGCACCATCGTCGCCACCACCTATGACTGGAACTTCACCAGCATACCCCAGACCTCGCTGCTCGACCAGGCCGTCATTGCCTACCCGCGCGGCCGCGTGCTAGGGGGCACCGCAGCCATGAACTTTATGCTTTGGCACCGGGCCTCGTCCGTCGAGCTGAATGCTTGGGAGGATGTGCTGAACGTCTCGGGGGGTTGGGACTGGGATGCGCTATTTGCGGCTTCGCGGGACGGGGAGACGTTTATGCCGCCTCCTGAGGACCTGGAGGCGGAAGGTTTAACGTGGGATGCGGCGTTTCATGGCTTTGAGGGGCCCGTGGCGGGAAGCATGGCGCGCAACGTGTACTCGCTGTATGAGGACTATGTAGTTCCCTCGCTGGAGGCGCTTGGTGTGCCAAAACTTGTGGATGTGGACGGCGGGAACACGACGGGAATGAGGTATGGGCCGTTGGCGGTGAATGCGAGCTCGTACACGCGGTCGTATTCAGGTTCGGCATACACGAATGTCGAGAGCAGGCCTAACTTGGTGGTATATACCAACACCACCGCCACGAGAATCCTGTGGTCTGATAATGATGATGACGACGACGAGTCCTTCTCCTCAGACGACGAACTCGCGATCGCCAGTGCCGTAGAGTTTATAGACCCGTCCAGTGGAAATCTGGCCATTCTCAACGGCACAAACATCATCGTCTCAGCCGGCTCGATTCAGAGCCCCCCTCTTCTCGAGGTATCTGGCATCGGCGACCCAGACATCCTCTCCAGCCTGGGCATTCCAACCATCGTCGTCGATCTGCCAGCCGTGGGCAGCGGATTCCAAGACCACCTCACATATGCCGGGATCTTTGGCTACAACACGTCGCTCAACCTGACAGGCGACCAGTACATTCAGGATTTTCAGGACTACGCGCAGCCGAGCCGGTTTCTATCCGAGGAGGACTACGCCTTTGCGAGCAATCTGCTGTTCAACAACGACTCGATGAATTCGCTGACGGGGGCCTCGAATGCGAGCCTTGCCATGCTAAGAGCGATGTGGACGGCGGACCAGCCGTTGATCGAGTTCGGGTGGTTCTTGGGGTTCGTGACTGGCTACGTGCTGCATCCCTTGAGCAGTGGTTCCGTACATGCAGCAGCAGGAGCAGCAGCACAACAGCCCTTGATCGACCCAAACTTCAACGGCGCGAGCATCAACGGGACATCCTTCGATCTGTGGCTCCTCGCCAAGGCCCTCCAATACTACGCCACGACGGTGGCCTCGTCTGGGCCCCTCGGTGCCAATGGGGCCGAGTTCAGCATTCCAGGTACTTTATCCTTTGAGGATTTCCAAGCCGAGGTGTTGGAGGGGTTGACCAGCGGGAGCCATCCTACCGGCGGGTGCGTGATGATGCCGCGCGAGCAAGGAGGGGTGGTGGACGGGTCGTTGAGGGTGTATGGCACCGCGAACGTCAGGGTTGTGGATGCGAGTGTGATTCCGAGCAGTCCTGGACAACATGCCATGGGGTTGGTGTACGCCATTGCAGTCAGGGCAGCGGAGATCTTGCAGGGTGATGCTGCTTACTGATGCACAAAGCCCTTCTTTCGAGCTTCAAATCTCACGACACCCATCCACGTTGGCACTGGCTGGGCCTTGGGTGGACCATGGCCCGACATGACACCTCACCATGACCACGACCACACCTGTACACATAGAGTCTCTATGAGGAGGACAAGAAAACAAAGAGAGTCAAAGCTTCTTGGTGTGCTGGCAGAGTGTCCACCTACTTAGGTGCACGTCAGCATACTTCGCTCGCAGTGCACACATGGCGATACTATCTTGCTTCGAGGGTGTCTCGTGTCATGTTGTGTCAAGACTTTACAGCAGTGAATCCCAAGGTGAAATGTAATGCAATGCTGGTAAGACTCTCAGCCAGGTACACCAGAATAGTGCTTGTACACACAAACTGTTATCGTCGATGTCGCCTCGAGGCACAGCACGCTGCAAAGCACAGACCCCCAGCACGTTGTTGAACCGGAAAGAAAAGTCAGGGATGGCGATCCTCCGTCCCGACGTCTTGGCTCGCCCGCTACAGCGGTGTGTTGTGTGCGTGCAGTGGACCCTTCGATACTGTGGTACCGAGCTGGTTTAATGATAAAAATATACCGTAGTACTAATAATGAAGCGTACAGATTTAGTACCAACGAGATCAGGATCAGTACTCATGTAAAACAGAAAGGGTTTGGACTCGGAGGGTCGGTTCCCAATTTTGAAGTAGACAAAGAGATGGACGGGAACTGAGTAAATTCTGCCAAGAAATTTCTTTGATTAGGTTTGGGAGATTTGGCGGCGTGGGAAAGGAGCCCCTTTTGGAGTGTCGCGCACGTTGACACGTTGACGCAATTTCCAGGAGGAAGGAAAGAACAGAAGGGACGATGGATCGATGTCATTCAACCTCATCTCATCTTGTCTCATCTCATCAATTTTCACCCTACCTTCTCTCTTATCTCTTTTCGTTCTTTATCTCACACTCTTTCTCTCTTTTTGCAACAAGGTTTCGCAGAAATAAGCTTCTTATTCATTTTAATGTCCTTTTGTCTTCTTCTTCTTCTTCTTCTTGACTTAGTCAATTTCTCGGGTCGTTCTTTTCTTGGCGTCACTCATTTATTTTGCTCATCGTCAAACCTCGTCATCCGATCCCGTCTGGTTTGCTCACACGCTGCATGCAACCAACCCTTGGCTGCTGCCACCTGTAGACAGACAACCCCACCCTGGACCACGAATGATAGAGTAAGCATTGACTCAATAACCGCGACGACAACAACGCGAATATGGCATCTCGGCTGCGCCTACAAGGCACCACCACCCTGAAACATCTACACCTGCGATGCCCACCACACCACAAGGGTGCGGGATTTAATACTACTACATGGCGCCCATCATCATCACCATCTATACCACCACTCTGCAGGCGCCGACCCTTTTCTACTTCTCACGCCCTGCGTCGTGACGATGCGAGCCGCGGTGGCAACGACAACAAGGACGGCCTTGCGCACAAGATGCTCGAGTCCGCAGCGACCTCGCTGGCCTCGGTGCTCGTCCTGGCCGTGGGCTTCGCGTCTGCCGCCTACGCGTACCACCGTCTGTACAAGATGCTGCAGCTGCGCAAGATGGCTAATGCCTTTGAGCCGGGCGATCCCGTGCTGGACCTCGCAGCCATGGGGAAGGGCATCTACACCAAGAGGGAAAGGGAGAACAAGAAGAACAAGGGACAGAACCACGGCAGTGAGGACGAAGACGAGGACCACTGGGTAGAGAGGCCCGAGCAGGCCAAAGTAGACGGCATCGTGGCAGGCCAGGAAAAGGGCCACTACCACCTCCTTCTCGGCGAAAAGGGCACAGGCAAGTCCAGCATGCTCATCGAGGCGATGCGCAAGATCGACGGTGAGGGCGTGGCCATGTTCGAGGCGCACTCGGATCTCGAGATCTTCCGCATCCGCCTGGGCAAGGCCCTTGACTATGAGTTCCACGAGGACTACATAGGGGGCTACTTCAGCGAAAAGGGCCCGCGCGACACCACCGCCCTGCTGGACATTGAGCGCGCACTCAACAAGCTCGAGAAGGTCGCCCTGCAACGCCGTGCGCGTGTGGGGCGGCCGCTGGTCATGATCGTGAACCAGATGCACCTTGTGCGCGACGACGAGGACGGCCGTGACCTGATCGAGCTGCTGCAGCAGAGGGCGGAGCAGTGGGCCGCGTCGAACCTCGTCACCATGGTCTTCAACAGTGATGACTATTGGGTCTATGAGCGCCTGAAGCTGCTCGCCACCCGTATGGAGGTCACCAGCGTGTCTGACCTGCCCAAGTCGGCGGCCACATCGGCCTTGAGAAGATATCGCGCCCGCTACTTCAACGAGATACTGCCTGAGGATCTAGCCGCACAAGTCTATGACCGCGTCGGTGGTCGTCTCTCGTTCCTGAACCGCGTGGCCAAGAGTCGTGACATGCTCGAGACGTGCGAGCAGATCAAGGAGGTCGAGAAGACGTATTTTCTGAACCAGTGCTGGATCCTGGGCGAAGAGATGGACGACGATGTCATGGACCAGCAGAAGTGGGCGGTAAGTTCAGACAGTGTGTTTTCTTTTTTTTTCCTTCTTTCTTCTCTCTTCCTCTTCGTTCTCACAAAAAGACAGAAATAATGAGATATTAACTTGCTTGTCCTTCCCAGGCCGCAGCGATGGTCCTAGCCCTCGCGCTTGTTGACCTCGAGGAGTCCTCTCCCCCAGGCCTCACTCACCCAGCCACCCCAATGCCCTTGGAAACCTATGACCCCGTCGTAGGCCACCGCCTCCCTTCGTTCCCGATGCACATCGCCCAGCAGATCCAGACCCGCGCCGACTTCGTGCGCGAGCTCGACCGCATGAACCTCTTCACCATCACCTCGGCCGCCCAAATGCGTGCCTCCAGCGTGCCCATGCACAGGGCCTTTCGCGAGATTTGCATGCAGCCCGGGTTCAGGGAGCACCTGGAGGCTACCAATGACCGCATTTCTGCCATTGAGAGCCTGGGCCGGACGAGAGAGGTGGTGGCCAAGGATCTGGTGCTGGGCGGGCGGTATGAGATTGCTAGGGAGAGGGAGGGGAGGGGGGAGAAGCTCGTTGTGGGGCTGAGACAGCCTCCTGAGGAGAAGGACGACGACGACAATGATCAAGGGAAAGGACGATGAAGAAGGAAAAGGAGAGCGTGAGTGAACCATTACCTGGTGGATGTGTCTCTGTGTGTGTACTGCAAATCCTCATTCCAGAGACCCGTCGAGGGGCGTGTTCAGAGATGACGAGAACTTCTCTCTGGCCCTCCTCCACAGAGGTCCTAGATTTGACTCAGCCTCGCCTCTGCTAGCAGGGCGCGTCAAGGCTGGCATACAAGAGGGCCCAGAGACAAACGCAGTAGAGAGCCGACAACAACGACAGCAGCAGCCACAAGACGCCCAGTTCATCCAATCCATCAATCCATTCCCCCTCGGCGATAGCGGCGGTGTTGTCCCGACTGATGGCTGTGCGAGCTAAACAAGAGGGGGGGAAACAACAAAGTAGCCCCGAAGTCTATAATTCTAAATATGGATGTGGATATGGGGGATCTGCACGAGCAGCCGAACAGCCCACCGCGCGCGCAAGGACACTCCCTGCGCGTAACTGTGTCTCTCTCATGTGTCTCTCTGTCTTTCAAGACAAGGCAAAAACAAACAGAAGGGTTCAACGAACCTGCTGCTTGCCGGCAAACACGAGACCCCTTTCCTGCAAGCCAAGAGGCAGATGCTAAAAAGGATGGTTCGTCGGGGAGGCTAGAGAAGGGGAAATGATGTTTGTGGCTTGAATGGGGCTTGGGCAGTGCGCATGAGGGTGTGTGCGTGTTTAGAGGCTTGTGTGTGGGTGTAGGTGTGTGTCAAGACGTGGGATGGTGGTGCTCATGGTGGATGGGTGGTGTCCTGGCGGGCCTGGCAGACGAGACATGACAAGCCAAGACAAGACAGGCAGTCATGCAGCTGAGCCCAACGTCTTGTCTGTCAAACTACCACAGACCGTTGCGACACCGGTCCATTCTGGCCTGGCGGTGCTAGTCTGCATGGATGAACGCCATTCTTGCGGGAGAAAAGAAAATGGCAGAAAAAAGTTACAATGATAAAAATTCAAAGAACAAAACTCATACTGTGTACGTACCACAGCTCGTCGTAACGGCTATTGCTAATACACGCGACGACCAAGAGCAGCTCCTCCGTCCCGTGGAGTCGAGGTGGTGAAACATGATCCTCCTCGTGACCTCGTGAGGCTGCCCGTAGATGGGTCCTGGGCCCTTTGGAGGATCCTCTCTCTTCTCACGCTTTGCCCACAGAGGGGTTAGGGCTGTGGTGAGAAAACTCTGGGTCCGAGGGCGCCAGAGGAAAAGGAGGAGGGGAAGGGGGGGGAAAGGACAATCAGAACCCAAAATCCAAGACTGCAGAAACAGAGGGGGAGAGGGATGACTGGGTGGAGGACGACGAGGAGGAGGAGGCTCCAGAATAATAAGCAGTAAGAGACAATCAGGTAACACCGCACACCGTATCTAGGTAGTAAGCCGCCACGAAACCGATGCGCTGGGTACGGTAAGACCTTGTAGAGTAGTACTATGTTGTAGCAGTAAGGAAACAGGGAACGGACGCACCAACTTAGCCATGATTTATTTTTAAGTCGCCGAGCACGGAGAGAAAAGAAAAAAGAAAAAGAAAGAGAGAAACCCATCGTGATGCGGGCTGGTAGTAGTTAGGCGTACCCACAGCAAGGATTGGAAAAAGAACAGCACAAATAGATTGATTAAAAAAGAAAAAGAAAAAAAAAGGATGTGGTATGATCAGACAGTCTTCGAACTTTACTATGGCATGTATGTATGAGCTGTCCATGTGCGTGCATGTAGTGTGCGTGGTCTTGCATCTCGTTCCAAGAGTCGACCTCAACCTCCTTCTCCTCCTCTTCTCCCTTGCCCCTCCTCAACATATTTCAGAAGCGGGGCTACAAACGACCAGACGAGCCAACGCGCTAGAGAAAACGCGACAGCAACGTCTCTTCGCGACAGGAGGGGCAAAAGGTTATCCACCACAACGAAAGGCCCTGGTCGTGGATTACTGGTGCATCGGAGCGGGCGGAGTGGGCTCCTCGGGACGTCTCCGCCTCTGTGCGTCCCTTTAAAGCAGATCATACCTCTGCGCATGATGGGAAGAGGATAAGAGGTAGGGGGGGAGCAAACAAGGCCCGGGAAGTGGCACAACAAGAGAAAGAGAGAATAGAAGGATAAAAAAAAAAAAGGAAGAGGATAAAAAAAATGAGGCGAGCCACGCAGACAAACCAAAACTCGCTTCTGGGGCCTCTTGTCGTGAGCTTATGCAGCCCGGCGGAGTTCCCTACTGCCATCTGAGACCAGACCCCCTCCCCTTCCAACCCTCCCTCGTCGTATAGACTTGGGGCCGTAACCTGCATGGCAGTAGCTTGAACACGAATAATAGTACCAAGACGCTATATGCCAAAGTGCATACACGCCCATTTGTGGATATCGCAGCTGCACGAAGGGACCACAATACATGGCTCCATGCTCGAGTACTTTTTCCCTACAAGGGAGACCATAAACGGGCAAGCAGAATATGCATGCACGGAGACGAGGTCCGCCGCCGGAGACTTTGTGACGAGTGGAGGGGGGAGAACGAAGACTGTACCACCTTTTGTGCCTCTTTTATTTATTTTTTTATATTTATTTTTTTAATAAAAAAAAATACATTTCCTTTTTCTTCACCTTTCCTTTTTTAAATTTTGATTTTACTTTCCTTCCCAAAATACCCCCCTACAAAGTACCACGTTCGGCTCGGCTGCCCGAGAAGCCAACCAAGAGCACCGCCCATCGCATCCCACCACGTTTTTGCGACTCACCTAAAAAAAAAAGGACCCAAAAAGGTGGCCCCGGCATTATTATCCACATAGTGACGACATTGAGCTCCAGCACGAGGAGAGGGATGGAGGGTAAGGCCCTCTCCTTTGTGACCCACGCCACCATCATCATCACCACTCATCTACTCGGTCTCGCTCTCCTGTCATACGAGTAAGTGAGAGTGGTGCTAGAAGTAGCCGTTTATTCTTTTTTTCCCCTTTGTCCGTTCGTTCGCCAGGATGTGCTGTCGCTCGGTTGGTGGTGTGGCGCCCGTCTCATGTACGAGCGGGCCCTGGAGTTAATTTTCTGTTTTGTTGACACTTCCTAATTTGGCTCAATGTTTACTTTTCCCCTTTTTTTCTTTTACCTCATGAATATTAAAGCTCCGATGAACAATATTTGGACAATGCCACTCAATTAATCTCGCTACAATTTCACATGATTACTATTGGTACGGATGAAAAGGTGAAGTCCCATAGTGGACACACATTCCGAGCGTGGGGGATGGGAACAAACAGCCGATGATCTTTTTTTCCCCCTCCCCAGTGTTGCTGTTCTCCTCCTCCTGAGAACTTGTTTTTTTGTGTGTGTGTATGAGAGAGAGGAAAATTTCTGGAAGATCAGTGATCATGTGTCACCAATGACGCCAGGTCATCATCGTTTGACTGGCGGTGAGGGCCACGTTGTGCTTACTGCAAGGCCTCGTCCCTCCCCATGAGGATAGATGAATGAGTCGTGCTGCGGGCGAGCCATAGTAGATTTCTATCCAATACGGCCCAGCGAAACCGGCATTTCCTCAACCGTCCCGGATCGGATGTGGTGGCGAATCTCTGGCCACCCTCTCCGACCGGCCCGGGTGGGGGGGGGGGGAGGCAAAGGTTCAAGAGGGTAGAACACAAAAGATATGATGGTACCGACAACAAAGAGATGAGAGAGAGAGAGAGAGAGAGAGCAATAGAAATGGTAGGGCAACTGAGAAGGAGGAACAACGAACCCCGGTCCTCTTCCCCACCCCCCACGCCGCACGAGTCACGATTCGTCGGAAGCCGGTCGTATATGTCGTATGAACGAGGGAGAAAGGAACTGATCGTAGGTGTCGACCATCACGAGCAAGCTACAGAATTACTACAATGGGATAGAGACGGACAAGAAGTGTGTGTGAGAGAAAAAGATAGACACACAGACAGAAAAGAGGAGGAGGGGATCGGGGATCGGGGACAGGGGGGGGCAAAGGCAAGGTGAATAAAGAGACACACACGGATGAACATCGGCGATTGATGCCGAGATAGGGCAATCGTCTTGAGGTAGCATCACGGCATCGTTGTTGTCGTCAGCTGGACAGGACACCTGGTCAGGCACGGATTGAGCCGAGATGAAAGTGCCGTGTTTCTCCGTCTCGGAAGCCCCAAAAAAAAAAAACAAAAAAAAGAAAAGTTCGACGCGACGGGATAATGACTTGCAACGCAATTGGGATGGATCTCTTCCCAAATGGTATCATTGCCCAGCAGCCCGTTGCATCAGCAACACCTCCCTCCTCCTCCTCCTCCTCCTCCTCCTCCTCCTCCTGCCCCCCCCCCCTGGTTTTCAACCTGAGTAAGGCAGAATTGATCAATAACTCAGTCGTCTTAATTTTCGCAAACAATCCCCCACCGCCTCTCTCTCTCTCTTTTTTGGTTTACCATCTCAGGGGAAAAGAGGAACAAAGAACCTGGCCGCGCTCGACTCAAGCAAGATGTTGGATGATGGGTTGAACTAACGAGAAGAGAGAAAAAAAACCCAACCCATGAACGAGGCGGACTGCCGGACCTTGAATGATTGTGGAAAGACCAACCCGAAAGGGTAAACCACGCTTAGTTGCATAAAATAAAGACTGGCCCAGGAACTTGACCGAAAACCAAGTATCCATCAAGTACCTCCCGCCGCGATAGAGGTAGGTAGACCAAAGACCCTCATGACCCCATCCCCCCACCCCCATCGGTTCGATATACTACCTTACTATGCAGTTAGTATACCTCAGGTAGCGTCTCGTTGCGCCGACATGCTCTATTTGATTGGCTCGCATCGCCCAGCTTGGCAAGGCAATCTTGGCAGCACCTCAAGATGGAGGGGGGGGAGGGACCCTCCCCACGCCTTCGTGGTGCAGCCCAGCACATCGTACCATAAAGTATATTTTGTGTGTGTGTGAGTGTGTGTGTGTGTGTGTGTGCACAGGAAGCGGGTTTCCCCCCTCCCAGGGAGATGTATGGAGTATGGTGCATGAACATGGGTAGGTACTTTAGATGTGTGGGATGCCCATTGGGTATGTGAGATGATGGGGGAATGGGGAATGGGGAATGGTATAGCCATGGTTACATGAGCAGCAGCCAGCAGCAGAACGGCATGGCACAATTGTCCGTCTCCTATTTTGTCGTGCAGCATCGCTTTCCACCTGCAGCCTCCCCCTTTCCCCTCCTCAGAAAGTCGGCTACTCGGCCGAAAGAGCACGTCCCCTCCCTCTGTTTTTGGACCTCTTCTGTTTATTTTTCTCTCTGGAACCGGCTTTGCGTCTGCAGTATGTATCGTAAGATCCTTCCTTTGCGCGATTGCCTGGCATGGATCTGGCCAGATCATCTGCAATGTAGGTCATGCGTTGGCATGCCGTCTCCCCATTTGGAAGTAATCACTGTTTTCTCCTTGCTGTTTTCTGCTTCCCCCCCCCCCCCCGGCCCCCTCTGCCTGCCATTTTTTTTTTTTTCGTGTGTTGTGTGGTTGATGTGTTGGCCCTCGCTTGCCCTCGGCATTTGCATCGTCAAGGATCCCAATGGACAACTCTAGTATAGATCCTTGATGTGTTGCGACGAGGGAAAGATACCTGTACAAAAGTATTGTTACTGATGTAATCATGTGGCATGTCCAACACGTCCGAGCGCGCCGCAGTGGGAACGAACAGGATACGCACAGACGACCCAGCAGCCCAAGCACTCGAGATCGATCGACTATCTGTGTGGGCCCCCCCTTTCTGCCGCTGTCTTGTCGGCTCGCCCCGAGTCCGTGTTTTCAGCAAAACCTTCACTGGATGCTTGTCCTCCCTTCTGCTCCGCTAATAATACTGGAGCCTTTTCCTCCCATATCATGAAGAGTGACGGGAATTTCGGTGTTATTTCCTTCCGGCCATAGCAGGTTGAAGGACAATGATCAGCGTGGACAACTGGACGAGAGAGAGAGAGAGAGAAAGAGAGAGACGCATGTTTGGCGGGAAG